CAAGTTCCCCGAATAATTATCCGTATTTACAAAGAATTGCAGGAAAAATTTCCAACAGTCTTTACAAATGATTTAGTTATCGCCTATACCCGTAATAAAAATCTAAATGATATCTTAGTCCGTGGTAGATTACCCCCACCCCCCCTTCCATAGGTTTAGTACATTTCCTTTAATTAATATTTTTTATTTGTGATAAAACTTACCATTGAAGAATTTCCTCGCCATTATTTCCAGTTTCGCCAGTGAAAGAGGTTTATTATGATTTCCATGGTTATTAATGTTCCTGTAGGAATAAGTATTCTTCAGATTCGAAAGAGAATGGATTTGCATTTCATATATTCTATATCATTTTTTTTAAAACTAACTTCACAAACATTGCTCTAGGTTACGCCTACATGCCTGTGCCTGTGCTTTCGTAACATTGCTTAACCTAAAATTCCAAGGATGAACCCTATTTAAAATCAGAAAGATCGAATATCATTTAGCATGAGTCATTGCCCTTGTTTTTGATTTGTTCGTTAACACTCCAGAAGGCACATTTATTCAGGGATTTAGATGAAACTTGGTTTGAGTGTTAGTAATCACTCAAGGATGAATCAGAAAAATCAAACAATAATAAGTATGAGTTATTGTCCTCATTTTTGAAAATGCGTTCAATTTTTAGCACGTGAACAAACTAGAAGGCACAATTCTTGACGGATTTTGACGAAACTTTGTGTGAATGTTTATAATCAACCAAGGATGAACCCTATCGGAAATAAGAAGAATCAAAAAATATTTAGTTATTTTTGTCGTTGTTCTTGAAAACGGGTTCCATTTTTAGCTCGTAAACGCTCTAGAAGGTTGAATTATTGACAGATTTCGTGTGAGTGTTTGGAATCAACCAAGAGTAAACCCTAATGAAAATGAGAAAATTCGAAAAATAATTAGTATGAGTTATTGCCCTTGTTCTTGAAAACGCATTCAATTTTTAGCCAGTAAAGACTCTATAAGGCACAATTCTCGAAAATTAGAAGAATCGAAACGAAACTATTTAGTTTGAGTTATTGTCCTTGTTCTTGAAACGCGTTCACGTTTTAGCCTGTAAACACTCCAGAAGGTCCGATTCTTGGCAGATGTTAATGAAACTTGGTAATATTATAGTAATTATACAGTATCGCCCCAAAAAAATCAAAAGAAGTGCAAGACTGAAGTTTAAATATTTCATACTGGTAATTGCTACTGTACTGCCAAATATTTCTATTTAAAATCAAAGCTGACAGTGGGCGTATATTACCTTCCTGGCAAGCTATCTTTTTAAATTCTATTGTTGAGGTTTTCGACCTACATCACTGACCGGGATACTAGGTTGAAAACTCGTACAGTAGATCTCGACCTATTCCGGGTTAGCGAGCAAGCATCGTAACTCGGATCTTCTTTTTTGTATTTCTCACATAGCTTGTTAATAACCGATTTTTAATAAAAAATAGAAATCATTTTTTGTAAAGTTTTAGGCTAAAAGAATTTTTTAATATATTATATATTTCATTATTTGTTTATGAATTAAGTGATTTTTCTCAGAGCTATTTTAAAATATTTTGCCTAATAAAGTAGTCTAAACTACCTTTAGAATTCCTTACAATGGTTCACTTTACTTTAAAAACTGAAATAAAATACCAACAAAAATTTTGGAACAAAAAAGCTTATAAAAATAGCAAACTTAATATATTTGATTTTATACTAACCTTCAATAACCGTCATACTCAATATTAAACTTAATAAATGATATCCATTAACTGTCTTTCTTTTCATTTCAGAATCTTTTCAGAACCTAGTATTGATTGCTCTTGTTAAGTTTTCATTGACTAGTCTCTGTAGATCTGAAGATTTTATAAGTAATATCCACGCCTACACTTCAAGCTATCCTGATACACGAGGACTGCTTTCAATTTGACCCTCATTTCTTGCAATTCCAAATATGGTTGAGCCCGGACGTAATTATTCTGGATTATTATAAAGTAGCATTATAAGAATAGTTATCTCTCCAATACACTATTAATTCTCTCAATCCTAATTTCAGACACTTTTTAAAACAAATTAGTAACCTAGGCCAGTGCTTCTACGGACGAGTCACATCTAAAACAGTTTTATGACACCCAATGCTATATTTTAATGATCACTGTTGAACGTACGTGATGTAATAAATATATATTATAATTTAACCTAAATACAAAAGTTTAAATAGTGCATTTAGGTGAAAGTCGGTCAGTGAAACAATATGTGTCTGATGTAAAGAAGCAATGCACACACATATATATAGGCCATTCCGATCTAAAGCAATAAGCGGTTGCCCTAATCGAAGACCACTAAACAAGCACCGATTAGATGTCAAAGCAATATTAATTATAATGAATAACGAATAAGGAAATACACTTGTGAATATTTTCAGAAAAATGTGGAATTGTTTCCCTGCATTTAAGTAAATCTACGATTCTTAGGGGAAATGAAGGTGCACAAAGACGAAAGTCTTACAATATAAAACGCATCAAATTGTTGTTTTGAATTAATGTTGCAGGGAGAATCTAAGTGTGAAATCCCATATATTTACGATATTTCATCAAATTGCCAAAGCAGCAGGAAAATGCTGTTGAGTCCCATGCTTTCGTGATCCATGATGATTATTTATTCGGTTTTTAGAAAAACCTTGGTAGATTTTTTCAACCGGTCTCATTACCATTCGACGTGTGGTTCCTTCTAGTACGAACTATAAACCGCTATAGAGGTTTTTTTTTAAATAAAGGCATGTCAGTGAACCCCATATAACATAACATACCTTATAACAGTCAAGTCTGTCCCAGCATAACAAATAAAGTACCATAGCCTTGGACCTCCGAATTCAACAATGAGCGAAGTAATCATATACGCTTGGACTCTCTACCTTAACCCATGATTTCAGCTCACACCCCAGCCGCGATTTCAAAAAAGAGAGTAAGGACTTGTTATAGGTGATAAATCGAGTAAATCTTACCTGAAAACTTTCACACTGACGAGAAATAATCAAGACCTTGAAACAATGATTTTACTTTGTGAATTCAAACCTGTAGTGAACTACAATGAGCGCGATTCATTCCTTATCACAGACTTACTTTCTATACCTTTGTCAGGCTGTGTAATATTTCAAAATGGTGGGGTGGATGCAGTTTAATTTTGTCCCTATCGTCAACTTGATATCATCAAAAAATTGTTGATACAAAATAGCAAATACATTTATCTAATTGTATATGAACCAGACGTCAGTCTTTTCTTGATTACCTGAAATTGATTGCCTGAAATTAGTGCTTCTGATTAAGCACATTTCAAGGCGACTGTATCCCGTATTACATGTTTATCTTTAATTAATACCATCAGAGAATCGGATCACTGGAATTCAATCCTTGTCGAATCATTTGCTTGTAAAAAGGGTGGGGTATTTTATTGGAAATTATTATATTATGTTGTAATAGGTAATAGGACCTGGACAAAAATGGCAATTATAGATTTCTATTACGTTTAAAGTAACAATTAATTTTGTGTTATAAACATTAGGTTAATTGTGTTAGAGGCGTTTATAGAACTTTTTGATAAAGAGATATACTCGACGAGATGCACTATAGAAAACTTGCCAGTGCCTGTTTTTAAATATAAGATTTCAGGCAAATTGTACAATATATATGATTTGGTGCTGCTTCACAAGTAAGGCTATCTTCTAATGGTAATTTAATGATATATTATTAAAATAATAGCTAGTTAAACAGATAGATTTCAGACAAGACCTTGTACTGACACCAGAGAGGTTGGTGTTAGGGGCAATAGTTTTAGCTTTTACTTCTCAAATATTGTATCATTCGTAAAAAACATATCCGGTTGTTGTGTAAGTAAGTGGAACAAAACCTTTCAAAGGATTATGTTCAATTAGCAATCACTATCTTAGCCTCTTCTTAGGTTTCTATTTCCAACTTTGTGCTGAAACAATATACTTGAAATACTTTTTTAGATGGTTACGGTTACGATAACCATTCAGTTCTGGCAGGCATAAAGTGATTTTGCGTTGATGAAAACATGGTATAGAATGTAAAATATATCAGCGTTTCCAGGCGTTTTATTTTCAAAATTTTCTTGTGGTGGTCCCACAGTCCCTATACAAATAAACCTTAAATTCGCCAGGAAATGGCAAGAAATCACGTTTCAGGGAGTCAAATTCTCCTAGGAGAGGTCCCAAGACTTCAGAAAATCGTGTTTCAAGGCTTCCAATGGTCGTCCTCAACAGCAATAAATATAGCAATAACTCTTTAGAGAGCACCACTATAATGCGTTACAATTCACAAAGTTTTCAGGGGGGAGGGAGTACCTAAACTGCCCCCTTGATTGAACGTTTGTCCTCGAGCGCCATCCAGCAGTACTTGCCACTCTGACGCCTCTAAAGAGTTGCCGCATTTCGATTTCAGTCTCGACGATTGTCGGTCTGCCTCTTTTTTGTACCCCCAGTATCTTTAGATTGACTCTATCAGAGTAGTACTCAGGATGGAATATGTCGGAGTGACCAGAGAGCGAGCATATTGGTTTAATGCAACCGAAATAAACCATCTAGTGCTTCCACAGTTCTTTTAATACAAGCGGATCTTAATAGAATGTAAATATATATAATCTATGTATACTAGATGTATTTTTGGTTTTCTTTAATAGACGTATAAATATCTCATTTTATTTTAAAATAATGTAAACCCTGAACACTGAACAAGAAACCATCAAAAAGAACATTACCCATGTACATTCGGCGTATTAAACAAAATGGAAATCAGTTATAGAGTCTTATTCTTTCATCTGATAAATTTTATTTAAGGTTTCTAAAAAATAATTGTTTTATCAGCTTCGAGAATCAAACTTCTTTGCTTGATCATCATTAGTATATTCAATTTGACCAATATATTCTACAAAAATATTCAATTTATAAAACATCTTCTGAAGATGCAGAATTGTTTGGATTAGATTTCTGTTGTCTCAAGTTCATCCAAGTTAATGTCATTATTCAGACTGTAAACAGGATTGGAGAATATTTCTGGACTTTGCATAGATGACCCATTTTTGGATTGCTGATGATGTCTTAGAGCAGCATTAAGTAATGCTGTAGGTTGATGGCTGAAATTTCTAGTACTATCTATTTCATCATACAGATCTAACGTAATCTCTTCTTCAACCTCTTCATTCTCTTTATATCCATTGACTTCATTATCATCTAATCTATCACTATTAAATATATAAATATTCACTTTTACCTTGTTTCTGACTGTTGTACAATTAAAGTACAATTAAAGTCCTTCGGATGAACAAAAAAATCGAATTTTTAAACTTGTCTATATTCGTCAGTGGATTTATGTAGTGTCATAACTATCCAACAGAACCTGTATATGACGATAAATCCATCGGATAAAATACCAAATTTAATGACTACATGTAAGTATTGAAAGATAGTTTTCCAGGCAAGGTAACATCCGCACACTAGAAAATGATAAGAAAAATGTCAGAAATGATAACAATGTCTGTAGCGGTTTAATATGTGAAACCAATCATCCGATTGTTACTAATTTCAAGCTTTACTGAAATCTCATACCTAGTTTCATCAAGTTCGTATAAAAAATGTAGTCTCTATCAGGCCTACAAGACAAATTAGACGCATTGAATTAATTTAAGGGCAACAACTCCAAAACCGTTCACTCGATTGTTACCAACTTGACTGAGATCTTGTCCATATATACATGCGTACCAAGTTTCATCAGATCAGATAAAAACTGCACTCTGTATCATGGCTACAAGCCAAATTTAACGCGTTTTTACTAAGTTGAGGGCAATAACTCCAAAACCATTCATCCGATTATTACCAATTTCTAACTTGACCGAGATCTCATCAATATATACATGATACTAAGTTTCATCAAGATCAGATAAAAACACATTTCCATGTGGACGTATAAAAACGCTAAAAGAAACCATTACTTCATAATATGGATTTATCCTCATATACAGCGATTCTTTTGTAAAATTATGACACTATAAGTCCACTGATGATTATATACTCTTATTGGCCAAGTTTAAGACTGTTATTTTATGTTCATTCTAAGACGTGGAATTTCTTTATTCAACATATAGTAGGGTATCGTGCTTGAAATGGGGGCTAGCCAAAATTGATTTGGGCAAGTAAAATTTCAGGACTACTGGCCCAAATGATATAGGGCAAGCCCAAATACTCGGTAGGCCTATTTTCATTTTAATTCTGACAGTGCACCAAATTCTTGTTTGATAGTAATGATGAGTTTACGTTCTTGTCGATTTTTTTTCTTTTAATGTTTGTGGAAATCAACAAAATGAAATTTTATCACGAGCAGAAGCAATGAAATTCATAAATCGTGATAGTAAAATAATCAAATTTGAAAACACATTCTGATTTATGTCATTATTTAAATATAATAAAAACAATTATTCATATCGGTTAATGATAGATTGAAACAGAATTCAGTATTGAAAAATCTAAATCTATAGTTTTGATATCATTAATTTACAAACAAATACTAATTAACCAACCTGATATTATCAAAACTCGAATTGTTGATTTCTTCTCTCTCAAATAAAGGATTATTTCTGGAAAGAAAGAGGCAACGTATTAATTTCAACAATAAATTGATAGATCAAGTGACACTCAGAGAAGCATATAGGATAACATTATTGCAACAAACAAAAGTCTTTTTTATGAACTTAATTTACGTTTTTTGAAAAAAAAAAGTGTTATAGTGAGGTAACCAAATCAAATAACGCCCGTCTACCAAGGTTTCGTAATATATGATGGAATTATCAAATTGTGTCACATTCTGCATTATCGGCCTACCAGAATTGACCGGAATTGACAGTGACTTCAACAACCATACAAGACTGGTCCGATCCACGGACCCTCAACTCCAAGAGAAAAGATACAAAATTCCCCAAAAAAGTACCAAAATAGGTATATATATATAATCTTAACACACAAAATAAGATGGTTAACATCTTTTACTTGGGCTCTACCAAGGGCAATAGTATGTATTTATTTAAGAAAAAGTCAGCTATGACTGCCCTAATGTATGAAAATAATCAAGACTCTTACTTTTAGAGGGCAGTGGCGTTTCTAGGAAACATCAAGTGAGGGGGCGAGCAGGGGCCACAAGCCATTTGTCATTATGCAAAATGATGAAAAAAATTGGAGGTGTTGGTAAAACTGATTGGTTAACCGAAGAGTGAAAACCTTGTGTAGGTTGTGATGTTACCGGTAAACAGTTCGTCTTCATTTAAAGTGATTGTCGGTGAAAATGTTTCAGTTGTACCAAGCAACAAGTTGTGTGCAACATTTCCCAATGAATTGAAAGATCTCGACGTATTGTTTTACCGACGGCTTCGCCAATTACTGTCTTTTACCAAACGATTCCGCCTTTAACCGACAGCCTCAGTAAAATCAAGAAACGAAAGCTTCATAACCTACAACTCTACACAAGGTGCACGGTTTCGGTGAACCAATCGGTTTTACCAACGGCCCTTGCCATTACCGTCTTTTACCACTCTTCTCGATATCATTTCGATATATGCCATTAAAGTATCGGGATCTTTTAAGTACACAAACTTGTCGACTAGTTGCTTAGTACAACTGAAATGTTTTTACTGACAATTCCTTTCAATATCGAGGAACATTTGATCGATAACATCATAACTGACACTAAGTTGTCACTCTTTCGCTTAACCAATCGGTTTTACATTGAAAGAGCCCAATGCATTGTTGGCAGATATCGAAATGATGGTATATGACATGAGAGAAATTCTGCAAAGTGTCTCTTCGGGAAGCAACGTTTTCATCCAAGCCTTGCTAAGCTTACCAATTACCGTTGACCATTCCAAAAATATTTTTAAAAATATCATGGTTAAGTATTGGTTGGAATTCAAGACATACTTAGGTTAGTTCTTGGATCAGATATAAGGTCAACTTACGTAACCTAAAATAAATCCTAAGGATACAGACAGTTTCAATTTCCTGCTTCCAAACCTTTTATCATAGTAGTTTTCAATCATATTCTAAAGTGTTTGATATTTCATACATTTATTTCATCACATAAGAGTGATAATAAAAGCTTTGACCTAAGTCACATCTGTTTCTCTAATGGAAAACGTTGTGAAGAGTAGCCATTTACTAGTATGATATATAACATTATTAAACTAGAATAACATCTAACAATTTTTTTTAATGTATTCTGAAAGTTTTGAATAGAATTAATGAGACATAACCTGAGATTAATTCCATTTATTTAAGGAATGGAAAATGTTTTTATTTCATGATCGTGGTATATATAATTTTCCAATTTTTCTTTATGACTACAAGCAATTTGTAATTGACTTGAGCTCATCGCATGCTGACGACACATATTTCGGCGTAGACAATCTTTAATACGACAGCTTAAGGGTTATCTTTTCAATATTTGATCTTTAAAGAAGGAGCAAAATAACGTTGAAAAGATTTACTAATCAATCGTGCAATTCTTCTTTTTACCAAGCAGGTGGGCTTAATAGAGAAATAGAAATTTGATGTAATATACTGTCTTATTATTGTGAAATTAGAAGGCTGAAAATAGAATCCATTTGTTGAGATAAAAGATGAAAACAAAACCATTCTCCTCAGAATATCATCATATTTTGAGTGGTGTATTATGTACTTTCTTGAAATACAGGAACCACAGAATGTCGCCAGAATTAAAGTATTGTAGCGGGGGTAAAGGAGGTAAAGGGGGTAAAGGGCGATGATTTGTACCCCCAAATGTACCCCCACTTCAATTCTATCAAATATGAAATATAATTTTTATAATTTTTCGAACATATATATGTTTCAACAATTTCACCTTATCATAATAATACTTCAATCATTATTCATTTGGGGGAATCATCTCATACGACCCACTGGAGGCGCTTACACAGAGGTGCCGCATTTTTTAATTTTCATCTTATCAGTTGTTCCCACAATAAGTCAGTCTGCCTCCTGTTTGTATCACCAAACTCAGTAGGCTAGCTCCAACGGACACGGATACAAGCAAGACTGTTGCGATAACAATCATAAATACATATATATGTTTCTCTAATAGGAGATTATAAAACCAGACTAATTAATTAATTAAATATCATTAAGATAATTCTTACTTTCCAAAGCTTTTCTGTTGTAATACTGGTGATATGTCCGCAACTTTCTTCTTTCCTACAATACCAAGGCGGATTTTTATGACAAGTTCATCATGGGCAATCAATGAATGTTTTTAATGGACAAAATATCACAAATCTTGAATTAGAGCTCAAACCAACCAAAATACAGCCCCAGATATTTCATTTCAGCTTATTTTTTTAAAGATTTACCATTTCATTCATCGCAGACATAAAGAATTTGATTGGGTTAGATTTGCACCATGACTTCAGATCGTAATATTAGTGAAGCAACAATATATATATATATGAAACAAAATTACTAAATGAGAATGGAAATGTATTATTACACTTATACTTACCAGTGCTTTTAACATCAATTGCTGCTGCTTTCAATTTACGCTTAAAACTTAAAAAAAATAACAAATTGTGTTATATTTCATTAGGATAAGAACAAATGTTTTGGACCAATCTGCAATACCGGGAATAAATAAATGAATTCTATTTTAGAGCAAGTCAGTATCACAATTCTCAATAACACTTTTGGGTAGCTGAAACCAATTTGTTAAGGATATCAAAATAAGCATACTATACCCGCTAAAGTTTCGTAGAAACATAAAGACTGTTATAAGTAGTATAGCAACCAAACAAACTATAACAGCTATTAAAATATATTCTTTCTTTTTATCTCCATCATCATTATTTATTTTTTCTTTTAAAGCTTTCTATAAATATACATTGTAACCTCATAAAAAATAAGTATTGTAAGGAATGCAGGTTAGAATATGTGGTGTTAATATATAGCTGATAGAGCTCAATTCCCGTATCACTTTTCAGTTACTTATCACTTTATTACTCATTACATTAATTAAAGTGTCATGAGGAAAATAATGGTAAAAGAGTTTATGATGTCAATTTTTTCTCGGCATTGAGACAAGTTTAGTACCGGAAACCACTTGTACAGATTTTAATTGTAAAATACGGCATGGATAGCTTAAATTGACCTGATCAAAGCCTTATTTCTACAGGACAATATCCTTTTTTATTCCACTAATTAAACCAGACAGCATTTAGTGTACTTTGCTTAATCATAATAGAGTCCTCTTTACTTTGTCTTCACAAAAGTTCTCAAAATATCTATTTTTCACTATGTCAGTAATTAGATTTAAGAAGCAATGCACCACAATGATCAAAATATGATGGAAACGGAAGTAAACCAGAAAACTTATAAAAACAGCACCCATAATGGCGGTTCAATGCCAGACTGTGATAAAAAAAATATTAAATTGTGGTTGATATGAAACACTTACGCCCCCTTTTCAAGAATCGACATATTTCAAATTGTATTTCATTAAAATAGTAACTCACATAAACTTCTATAACTTTATACTTTGAATGTATGGATTGCAACTCAGCAGAATGGGTATCTAGAGCGCTGGAATGTAAAAAAAAAATATCAGATCGGGGGTATTGTGCGCTTTAATTGTTATAAGAGATCTGTCAAGTGAAAAAGTGAAAAAGGCAAAATCATAAACATTCTCCATCATTGCAGGCTAATATTACATTTACTGAGAAAGCCTTGTGGAAAACACACGGTATGAACAATTGAAAAATAAATAAACAGAATTGATAACATTTCAATAGACTAGACAAAAGCGAATTTTAGTTTCATGTAAAACAAATAAAATGAAATGAAATGAATGAAGTTTTACATCCTACTTTTAAAACAAATAAAGTACCTTCTTAGGTCACTAGAATCTAAAATTTTACCGTCCTTGGAGACTCCATGTAGAAAAAGATCTGATCTGAAATGTTCAAGATATAGAAGAGCTTACTTCTAAATTTACCAAAATATTATATTTGAATATACCAAATAAAACATACTTCCATGTCGTTTAGAATTGTTACGAAAGCACAGGCACGGGCTTAACCTATTTTTTTGCAGTTAGTTTAAATAATATAATATATATGAATTTGAATATATGAAATGAAAGAATAGTGGTTCGAACAGGAATGGGAATTGTAATAAATATTTTTTTCGGCTCAAATTGCGAATGGTTTACTCTTTTACATTTAAATACATGTTAGTTTATAAAGGTTTAATAGAATATGCAACATTAAGGGATTATATATAATAATGTCATTGAAAACCATCTGATTGAAAAGGAGCTCCTTTAACAAATTTTCTGTACTTGAATAATTAGGCTTGAGTAAATTTGTCAAACTAACCTTGATTTGATAATATTGCCATCATCATCCACATGAGACAATAACTCATCAGGAACAAATGTAATACCAGTAACATCACTTATAAATCTATAAATAATCAATTAAATTACATGTAATATCAGTAACATTACTTATAAATCTATCAATAATCAATCAAAATGCATGTTATACCAGTAGCATAACTTATAAATCTATAAATAATCAATCAAAATGCATGTAATACCAGTAGCATAACTTATAAATCTATCAATAATCAATCAAAATGCATGTAATACCAGTAGCATAACTTATAAATCTATAAATAATCAATTAAATTACATGTAATATCAGTAACATTACTTATAAATCTATCAATAATCAATCAAAATACATGTTATACCAGTAGCATAACTTATAAATCTATCAATAATCAATCAAAATACATGTAATATCAGTAACATAACTTATAAATCTATCAATAACCAATTAAATTACATGTAATATCAGTAACATAACTTATAAATCTATCAATAATCAATCAAAATACATGTAATATCAGTAACATAACTTATAAATCTATCAATAACCAATTAAATTACATGTAATATCAGTAACATAATTTATAAATCTATCAATAACCAATTAAAATACATGTAATATCAGTAACATAACTAATAAATCTATCAATAATCAATCAAAATACATATAATATCAGTAACATAACTTATAAATCTATTAATAACCAATTAAATTACATGTAATATCAGTAACATAACTTATAAATCTATCAATAATCAATCAAAATACATGTAATACCAGTAGCATAACTTATAAATCTATCAATAATTAATCAAAATACATATAATATCAGTAACATAACTTATAAATCTATCAATAACCAATTAAAATACATGTAATATAAGTAACATAACTTATAAATCTATCAATAATTAACCAAAATTCATGTAATATCAGTAACATTACTTATAAATCTATCAATAATCAATCAAAATGCATATAATATCAGTAACATAACTTATAAATCTATCAATAACCAATTAAAATACACGTAATATCAGTAACATAACTTATAAATCTATCAATAATTAACCAAAATACATGTAATATCAGTAACATTACTTATAGATCTATCAATAATTAACCAAAATACATGTAATATCAGTAACATAACTTATAAATCTATCAATAACCAATTAAAATACATGTAATATCAGTAACATAACTTATAAATCTATCAATAATTAACCAAAATACATGTAATATCAGTAACATTACTTATAAATCTATCAATAATCAATCAAAATGCATATAATATCAGTAACATAACTTATAAATCTATCAATAACCAATTAAAATACACGTAATATCAGTAACATAACTTATAAATCTATCAATAATTAACCAAAATACATGTAATATCAGTAACATTACTTATAGATCTATCAATAATCAACCAAAATACATATAATATCAGTAACATAACTTATAAATCTATCAATAATCAATCAAAATACATGTAATATCAGTAACATAACTTATAAATCTATCAATAATTAACCAAAATACATGTAATATCAGTAACATTACTTATAGATCTATCAATAATTAACCAAAATACATATAATATCAGTAACATAACTTATAAATCTATCAATAACCAATTAAAATACATGTAATATCAGTAACATAACTTATAAATCTATCAATAATTAACCAAAATACATGTAATATCAGTAACATTACTTATAAATCTATCAATAACCAATTGAAATACAAGTAATACAAATATAATCATTATATACCTTTCCTTTAGATAATCTGATAAATTTATCAATAAAAAACGAAACAACACATACCCAACAAGATCTTCTTTAAATTCTCGAACTTCTTCGGGCTGAGCTAAAAATGTCATCTTAATAACCTGTTTATCGCCAATCACATATAACTAAAATAATGATACCGATAACTCAATATTTGACACAAATAAATAAAAACAAAATTTAATGCAATTTAACTAGAACTATCTATTGAACCCCAATTCAAAGCGGTTACCACAAAATTGCCTTATCATGTCAGAAGCACTCAGAATGGGTGATTCACATCCCAGTTGACTATGTCGGCAAAATAAACTCTAACTACCAAACCCCACTGAAATGGTGATATAGTCACCCTGTCTATGTTGAACCAATTTGAAAACTGTATAGAATTAAATTATTTACATTAAGTGTAAGATTGTCTCCACCAGCTACATCAGAGACTTTAACCACAAGACTGATCAGACCAACTGTACTGGTTTCAAACTTAATATTAGTGAAAATTGTACCATTGGATGTAAGTAGAATTGGGTCCGACTGAAACTCCTTTATATTAGTATCAATATTAAGATTTCCTACTTGTTTATATTCATGTATACTATATTTGGTTGTGTCATTGTCTGTAACATATTGCTAAGATAAATAGAAAATAATGAACCATATAAATTTACAATAACATAGAAGCTCCTTCACAAAAAATTTAACTCATATGGTGCTTGAAATATTCATTTACGATTTTTTATCTATAAATTATTGGTCAATACTGCTTGGTTGCATAAAACAAACTACCATTAGATATGACAAACAATGCAATGCGTCATAAAGATTGAATGTGTAATTAATCCCATGGAACACAATAACATAGTGTAAATCTATTGAAAACATAAACAAAGATAGCTTGCCAGGCAAGGTAACATACGCCCACTACCAGCTATCAGAAATGATAACAAAGTAACAAAGTCTGAAGTGGTTCATCCTGTTTTTACTAATTTCAAGCTTTACAGAGATCTCATACCAAGTTCCATCAAATTCGTATAAAAAATGTAGTCTCTATCAGGCCTACAAGCCAAATTAGACGCATTGAATTATTTCAGGTGCAATAACTCCAAAACCATTCATCTGATTATGACAAAATTCAAACTTGACCGATATCTCATCAATATATACATGCATACTAAGTTTCATCAAGATCGGATAAAAATTGCAGTCTTTAACGTGCATACAAGCCAAATTTAACGCGTTTTTACCAAGTCAAGGGTAATAACTCTGAAACCGTTCATCCGATTATTACCAATTTCGAACTTGCCCGAGATCTCATCAATATATACATGCATACTAAGTTTCATCAAGATCAGATAAAAATTGCAGCCTCTATCGTGCATACAAGCCAAATTTAGCGCGTTTTTACTAAGTCAGGGGCAATAACTCTGAAATTTTTCATCCGATTATTACCAATTTCGAACTAGACCGAGATCTTATCAATATATACATGCAAACCAAGTTTTATCAAGATCAGATAAAAACTGTACACTCTTACGTGCATACAACATTTGTGGACGGACCGAAGGACGTACGGACCGACCGACGGACGGACGGACAGGGGCGACGGCAATTTCCATGTGGGCGTATACAAACAATACCTTTAAATCAACTATTTTATAACCATACTGACTGGTGCTTCTAAAGCCAAGCGAGAGGGTTTCTTTTAAAAATTTTGGTGGATTATCGTTTTCATCTAATATCTTGATAAACACATTGGTACGAGTAGTAAAATTCTGAATACTATTATCACATCCAATATATGATTTATCTTCGGCTTGAATCTTTAATACAATAGGATTGACACTTTGCTCTCTGTCTAATTCCTTAATAACAGATATTTCACCAGAACTGCTGTTAATTCTAAAGTTTTCCTTCGAATGTGATGCTGAAAAATATACGATATTCAATTTCAAGATATAGTGGATCAGAATTTCTGACATGACCTATGATTATTCTAGTCTCTTTCTTTGTTTGGAGGAGGCATTTTCCGAATCAAACTAAAGTAACGTTCTGTTAAAGTTCTTAACATGATTTTGCACAGCTCTCTTACAGCTTGTCACTTAAATCAGTGTTTCTTGGTCATAGTCCTCGATTCTGTGATAAATTCTGAATAAATATCATTTAGATTACTAAACTTATGACAATGTCACAGCACTGCACTACTGTAAACTTTCTTTGTCAATGCATAGAGTCTGCATAGCTAATAATGTTTACATTACCGAGTATAGAGTAAAATATTATAGCATCGTCATCAGGATCTGTAGCTTCAACCCGTCCAATAGTTTTAGTAGGATTAGCCGTGTTCTCAGCCACCTCAAATGTTCTGTCTGATACAGAACTGGTATTAAATGATGGTGGGTTATCATTGGTATCATTGACTTTGATAGTTAAAGTTGGTGTAATTACAGACTTCTTTTCCGGTAAACCCAAATCATATGCAATAATTCGAATCTGGATTAATAAAAGAACCTCCTAGTATGATATGCAAAGAGCATGACCTCAATTCTAATAATAACAAGACATTGGCCCAACTCTAAGATGTTGACGAGAGCATCTTTGCAAAAACCTTTTACCAGTGATTGTTTTTCGAAGCTATATTTATGTTTTATCTGAATTTCCTTTCTTTGTTTCTTTAATTTTATATCCCTCTTGGAATTGTACAAGAAAAAATGCAATCAGCATAATTATACATGCTTGTCATAGGATATGCAACAAAAACTATAGCTAATAATAGATTGGAAATTTAAGGACCAGTACTCTCAGTACCACCATCGTGACAATTACTTATATTTTGAATAAATTTAGAAGTGTTTCAGACATATGTTGTTGTCCTTGTGAACGCCTTACATAAAATCATCACGATAATTCACCAACATTTCACGTTTGATTTTGTTTTAAATCAGCTAATGATAGACACGAATATAAAGTGCATGTCTTTGTCTTTAACTTAATTAAAAAAAAGTTGAAAATTGTTCGTGACTAACTTAGTTCACAAATATCTATTTATGATGTCTGTATATAATGTTTATAAAAATTTACGAGATAGAAGTAAAGTCTAAATTGCCTTAGCTGTTATTATCGTTATCATCACGATTTCAAAAGAGCTCCCCAACAAAACAATACATATTTCAACAAGAACTTTCCTTTTGGTTAAAAAAACAATTTTATGAAGATAGTTTACCAAGCATGAGAACAAAAGACCACATCAGCTGTTAAGAAATAGTGTTGTTACATCTATTCATACCAAGTTTAATCCAAATTGGATGACAACTTGTATCTAATTTCCATGTGGGTATGTATATATAGTTCAAGATTTAAGGTCAAAGTCCATAACCTTGTGTTTTCTCCTAAAAATTTGCGTTCTTTTTATCATATGGCTTTACACGCCTAATTCTATTTACACGTATATTAGAGGTCAAATTTTACCTGTAATTATGAACAAAACAATCACATAGATAAATCTGTCAAAATTATTTACAGTTGTTCCCTTGGTCAATCGTTGAAATGTTATCATTGAACTTAAGTGACCCAGATAATCTGAATAGTATACACTTACCTTCAAAACTTTCACAACTTCGTGATCTAGTAATTTAGCCAATGTCATCTGACCACTGTCTTCATCTAAATCAAAATACTCATAATCTTTTGACAAAGCTGAATCATTATCAAATCTGTACTTCACTTTTCCATTTCTTTCTTTATCTTTATCTTCATCTGATGCTACAAACTGGTAAATAATGCTATGTTGCTGCACACACTGAAAAATCAAAGAAAGATACTTAAAACGGCCGAATAACCTTTTCCATTTTTAGCACATTTCAGTCTTTTCAGACAAAACATACAGTAGATTTAAGTTTCGATAGTGCTAAAAATCATTTTGTGACTTGTTTTCACAAACCAAAGGCAGTTAAACATACCATCTGAAATATTAATGAGTTAGACCTCAAAATTGTTCAAGATTTTGACATACTGAATTGCAAAACCACGTTAGTTTCTAAAATGTTTACAAAAAATGTTGACGGGCAATATATATCCATATTTTCAAGTGAGTATATAACAAGTAATACAGAAAATGCTGCTTTGGAACAAATGACCCAAGCAAATATCCTTTTGGCCTCAAACATGACAAAAGGATAGATAAGCTTCCCTAGAGTGGAATGGATGAAAATGGCAGATTATCAACTAAAGATTTATAAGGGTCAACCCACCTCACTTATACGGGGTATTGGTCCAAATTTAACAAATACTGGTGCATTTATATTCTCATCTTTTATTTCAATAGAAAGTAAAGTAGAGGAATTTAGAGCTGGAATTCCTTTATCTTGACCAATTACCGTCATATTGTATTTACCAGCTAACCCTCTTAATGATTTCAATATCACCACTTTAGCTTGATCACCATTACTTGTTACACTAAATAACATGCTTTGATTATCTGCCAATGTGTAGATCACTTGGCTGTTGTTTCCTATATCACAATCAGTTGCTTTGATCAAAGCTGGCGAAATTGAAGAAATGGTGCTTTTTGCTGCCATAGTTTCAGGAATTACGGCAGTATATTCAGAATGCACAAATGATGGAGTACAATCATTGATATCATCAATTATTATTGTTATTGTTTGACTGGCTTTCATACTTTTTTCAGACTCTTTAATAGGATTATCTTTAGCTACTATATTGAAAGTGTAACTATCTTTGCTTTCTCTGTTTAACTGTTTGTCCACAAATATTTCTCCCTGAAAATAATATGAACTTTATTGAGAGGGAATTATGCTGAATTATGTAAATTCTTGTCGGATTAGGGTTTAATTGCGAAATCACAGCAATTTGTGACATCAGTAAAAGAATCCCATCATTTAAATGCAATATTGTCTTGTCTATACAACCCTTCTTGTGAAGGAAATTCCACCAGAACTGATTGAATTTATTTTAATTAAGGGATTAAAAGGGGTTCTCTGTTCTCTTGTTGTACAGAACTATGTCTTCTTTTAGTACTACATGTATTCTAATTTCTCAAACATATAAAAATACCAACAAAAAAAAAATAAAGTGATTGCTACGTATTGTACACAATTTGATCAAAAATAAATTCTGGAATAAAATTAGAAATGGCTCAATTTCAAAAACATGTAAAGAATGATTGATCTTGAAGAGAAGACAAATTGTGATAATAAACTTTGTTTCAACTCACTGAGTTTGAATCAATTCTAAAGGCTTCCGAATCTTTTCCAGATAAGCGGTAAGTCACATTAGCATTTGGACCAATGTCGTCATCAAATGTTGTTACATTTGCTACTTGAGTTAAGTTATCAGCATTTTCTGGAACTTGGAATTGAGTAACACTCATATTAAACATTGGTGGGTTATCATTAAAATCTAAGACATTAACAGTCACAGGAACTATGGTACTGCGTGAAGGTTGACCATTATCTGTTGCTATCACCTCAAACTCATGACTATCTTTATTTTCTCTGTCTAATACTTTAATCAGTGTCAGCTTTCCTACAATTGAAATTCATTCCACAAAATATTCTCTACTTTGTTCCTTTATAGCTAATGATTCAAGCTATCAATCAACGAGCTGCCTCTAGCATGTAGGCTTGAGAAATTGGAAACTGGATTAATACAAATTTTGACGTTCTTCAAGATCTTGGATCCATAATAGGGTCAATATTAACCAAACAGATAATTTAGCATAGAAAATCATCACGAGAGGCACACAATAAAAGCTACAGATTTTTATGTTCTATAAACATGTGAATTGAATACAAATGGAAATGAAATAAAATGAATGGAGTTTTACGTCCATTTTTCTGCACCTTCTGGGCAAATGAAGGTAAATTTTGCCAGGTCAATAGCCTACTCTTTTTCGATTTCCAACTGGTGATGGATCTTTAACGCTCACAGTCTGTAGCACATGGGTCCTTCCAACCAGCATCACAGACAAACCGAGTTGAAAGACTGAAGCAAGGATAATGCTTAAATATGCATGCAACTTCATGAATCAATCCCCATCATTTTCTGTCCGAAGTAAAGTCTGAATAGTAAATAACACTTACCATTTGTGGAAACATGGAAATATTTAGTACCATTGATAGCAAAAGTCACAAGTTGGTTTTTGTCTTTGTCTGTAGCTGTTAAGGTTGTTAGCTCAGTAGATGCACTGGTGCTCTCAGATATATTTAATAATATAGAGTTACCATTCATTATTTCTGGACTATTATCATTGACATCTTGTATATCAATGGATAAAGTACCTGTACAATAATATTTAATAATGTTTAATATCATAGAATCACCATTAATTATTTCTGGATTCTTATCATTGAAATCTTGTATATCAATAAATTAAGGGCTTGTATATCAATATTTGATATTATAGAATCCCCATTAATAATTTCTGGATTATTATTAATATTCAGTATTATAGAAACATTTACCTGTGGCGGTTTGTTTAGGATTGTCAACTTCGCTGTTTTTATCTTCAGTAAAGATATAGAGAATAACTCTTTCAGCAATCTCTCTATCCAGGGATGAGTTAACTTTGATTGTCCCAGTTTTGTTCTCTATAACAAACCAACCCTACCAAAAAATTTAAATTTTAGTTAATTTACGTCCGAGGGGGTGGGGGGGGGGGGGCGAAATATCTGAGATTGCTCAAATTTCTGATATAGTTGTGAGATTTTTGCCCGAAAAACTTGCTTTCGGGGCTGCGGGGGGGGGGGGGGGGGGGGACGGCTGCCCCCTCTGCCCCCCCTTTGGCTCCACCACTGACTGAAAGTAATCAACTCATCTAACTGTTGAGTTTGTTGAGGTGTCTCCGTTTAATGTTCTTCAGATCAACCAGGTTGATTTCATGTCCAGCATCACTGACATGTTGAAACCCGGTTATATCTTGACATAAGTATGAAGCGAACACTCCAGTTCAGATGAGATGAACTCCAATATTTATTAAAAGATCTGTAAGCTACTGTACCTGTATCTGACTAATGTCCACATTATTATCTTTTTCATCATAAGCTTTACTTCTATTCCATAAAATAGCATAATATAAATCAGAATTGGTATCTTGATCAGTGGCCATGAAATCATAAACTTTAGTCTTGGGGGTTTGACTTTCTGATATATTTCTTGATACAATTTCAAATGGAAATCTTGGAGGTTTATTATTGATATCAGTTAGAAATATTTGAACTGTGGAAGAACTTGATAAAGGTTCAGGGTCAGTTCCTCTATCGACTGCTAATACTGTTAACCAAAATGTAGAATTTGGGATATTATCACGATCTAATTGAGCCCCAGGTCCCACAGTTATTTGTCCAGATGAACTGTTCATTCTGAAATTATCCGATCCCCCAGTTTCAATCAAATAAAATACTTCATTGTTAGGGGAACTTCCATCTCCATCAGTAGCGCGTACCTTGACAACTTTTGTACCTAAAAAAACGTATTAAATACTATGGTCTAGTAAAAATCCTAAAATGATGATGACTCTGTTAGAGTTATATATACATCTATTTGTCCATATACGTGCTCTACCAGCTGATAGAGTGTCGTCACAGGCAAGTTGCATGTTGAAGGTTCATAAAAGACCTATGTCAAATTAACTTCATTGTAAATAAATTTGAGAGCAATTTCCTCAATTTGCAGGACAAACCAAATCAATACAAAACACACTTCAAAATTCAATTAAGAAGTCTTGGCAGTGGATACTCTCTGAAAGGGTAGCAATATTCAAACTCCGTATTTTCTACTTGAATTTCATTTAAATACCTTCAGTTGAATTTTCTGCAATAGATCCATTATACATGGTGTGATCAAATGTAGGCGTTTTATCGTTTAAATCCTAAAAAAAAAACATACGTATAAAAAAAGCCTCAAAAGTCTCCATACAATACTAAGATTAATATCATATCTAATTAGACGACGAATAAAAAGTTTAACACAACATTATAAAAATATGGCTAATACCATAATTCAAACGCTTGGTTTTAACAGCTGTACATCCCCAGATAAAAGTTAGCATATAGAAAAGTACAAGATGCCAAATCAAATTTTCGGGCATCCTTGAATATTTTTTAGCTTGATTAGACAATAATAACATGTGTTTGAAACTATCTATGACGAGATAACTACTGATTATGAGAAACTTACTGTAACTGTTAAAACAATTGGCTGAGCATCCGATGTATTTTTGGGAGTTCCTTTATCTTGAGCTACAATGTACAATCTTATTTTTCCCTGATTACTAGGATCTAATAATTCAAAGTCAATGGGACTATGACATAGCAGCATCCCAGTAGTGGAATTGACAGTAAAATTGTTACTTATTGTGTCATTGTTTATCATATGATAAGTTACTTCACTATTCTTACCATTATCTGCATCGGTCGCCTGAAATACACAGAGAGTGCTTTATCATTCATTCCCAATGTTTTTTTTTAACTGTGACCACATTCATAATTATTGCATAATGTCAAACATACTTAAACACATTTCACAAACAATAAAATGGAATATAACTCTTTATTAGACTTTTTCTGAGGAATTCTGGAAAAAATAACGACATAACATTGTATTGCGTACCTCAGCACATAAAACAATGATGATATTTTAACACATGAAACAATGACACAACTTAAACACATAAAATAACCATCAATTATGGGCATTCTTAACAAATAAAACAATTATATCCCAATATAAAAAAATTACGATATCACATGCAGACATTAAACAACGATACCTTCAGACATAAACTCAAAACACAAAACAATTGTGATAACTAAAAACATAAAACAATTGTGATAACTCAAAACATAAAACACTGATCATACCTCAACACATAAAACAATGGTGATACTTCAGCACATAAAACAATGGTGATACCTCAACATATAAAACAATGATATTACCTCAACACATAAAACAATGGTGATACCTCAACACATAAAACAATGATTGATACCTCAACACATAAGACAATGGTGATACTTCAGCACATAAAACAATGGTGATACCTCAACACATAAAACAATGATGATACCTCAACACATAAAACAATGGTGATACTTCAGCACATAAAACAATGATGATACCTCAACACATAAAACAATGGTGATACCTCAACAAATGGTGATACCTCAACACATCAAACAATGATGATACCTCAACACATAAAACAAGGGTAATAACCCAAAACATAAGAAAATGATGATACCTCAACACATAAAACTATGATACCTCAACACATAAAACAATGATACCTCAACGCATAAAAAAATGAAACTCCAACTTAAGATATAAAAAAAACATAAAACAATGATGCAAACAAAGATGATATCACAACACATAAAATTACGATGTCAACTTAAAAAATAAAAACTGATTAAACCCCAACACAGAAAAAAAATGATTCAACATTAAATTGTTCTGCCACCTAAACATATAAAATGGACGTAAAACTCCAATCTTTCATTAATTTAACACATAAAATGATGATGCTTACCTTAACAACTATTGATCGTTCAAATTCTACTTCACCTTCCCTCATCATACCCTCATACACACTTTGTCTAAATATAGGTTTGTTGTCATTTTCATCTGAAATTTCGATTCTTAATGGTACAGTTTGGCGTCTGCCTTGACCAAATTCATCCACAGCTAATACTGTTAAATAATATAGATTCTTAACTTCTCGATCTAAATCTGTTGACTTGACTACAACTGAAGCTTGAGAATCATTCTGTATAAGTTTGAACCTGAAAAGATACCAGACCAATCTAAGAACTAGAAAATGTCAATCTGTTGCAGAATTTTGAAAAGAAACTCAAATTTCACCAAGCATTCACTTAATAGCACGTCTTCGAGATAAAAGTGCTCCTTTCCCCTCTCCGAAAAGCATTGCTTACTTATTTTCTCCCCCTTGTAAAATATAAGTTATATTTCCATACAGACCAGAGTCTTTATCTGTTGCCTAAAATACAAAATATCTTATTATATAATTTTAAAAACTGTTAACAGGGGAACACAAACAAAATGTGATGAACTACTATAGTAATAATAGTAAATAATTGTGTTAGTTGAGAGACAAGTAAACTTCAGTGGAAACAACGTTGGCAATAAAATGAAACTGCATAGGTAAACTTTCCAAAAGAATTGATGAAGTAGAGCAATGCCAAATATCTCAAAGCTTTTATTTGACGCCCTGTACCAATATCGTTGCAACATTTTCATTTTGTGTGACACCGATGAAATTGGTCCTAGGTCGAGGAAAATGTCTCATAGTTGCTTATATCATATCTCTCCCGAGTTGAATGTTGTTAAATTAACTAACCTTAACGTTCAAAATAAACTGGTCTTCATTAGAATTTTCTGCAACTCTTCCCGTGTAATTGTTCTGCGTAAATACAGGATCATTGTCATTAGAATCTAAAACTTCCACACTAATAGTAATAGTATTATTATATCTTTCTTTCGTAGATATTTCTGTAGCTAAAATCTTTAAAATAGAGAAAAAAAATCAAAATCTATTATCTGCAAAATAGAAAAATATTATTCGAAAAATTAGATTTGTAAGATATTGAGTCCGGTGAAAAAGAAGGCCTTAAAACTCATGATGCCTAGACGTCTCTCTAAATTTGAAAAGTTCAAGTGTTCCTCCAAACATACCTTTACTGTAAAATTATGATGTTCTTCATAATCTAAAAGAGTATTATTCTTTATCTTAATCAAAACTGTAGAGGTTGATCTAATATTAACTGGTACAACTTCAAATATATCTTTTCCTTCTATAATCTCTAATTCAAATATACTGTTATCATCCTGCAATGCAAATAATTTTTTAACCACTTTGGACTGTTTTCCTCTTTTTATGAGTGGAAATTAATTTTCACACAGGTGATAATTCAGTAATATTTGATTAAAACACCCAGGTGAAAATTCAAGTTTTTTTTATCAAATATTATTGCATTATAATATTATTGCACCTGAAAATTAGTTTTCACGTGCTAAAAATTGAACAAGGGCAACTCATACTCAATATTAATCAGTATCGCCCCAAATAGTTCAAAAGAAGTGTATGATTGAAGGTTGAATATTTCATACTGGTGATTATTACTGTACCGCCAAATATTTTTATTCAAAATCAAAGCTGCTTGTGTGGTATTTTACCTTGCCTGGCAAGCTATCTTTTAAAGTGAAGATGCTATGCAATTTTATGCCTTGCGCATGCAATTGAGAGACCATTTGCCCGCACATTTGTGTTTACTGTGTCAACCATTGAGGATCCTTAAAATGCCATTTTCGGGTGTAGATTTCGGTCCCGAATATATGTAAATAATCTTCAGAAGTACATGTACTAGAAATGTACAAGAATACCTCAAAAAAGAAATTTTACTTTCTATTTACGTTTTTTCTATAGATAGAAGGGTCTCAAGAAAAGATTAGTAGCCATGGAGTTGATGGCTCAAATTTCGAAAGCGAGCTGTGAAAACTATTACTAATTAACTTTGCGAAAAAATGCGGTTTGTTAGACTAAGTTACGATTGGTCAAACGATTGGCGAATCTGTGCCTTTAAGGAAAAAAAACAATTAATCAGAATGTCCCGTTAATCAATCAAGAACTCAACGCAAGCTTATTGTGGGCAGATAGGTCTAATATTTACCTTGTCCTTATCAGAAACTGTTAATTCGTCATTATTGCTAAATGTAAGTGGTATTCCAACTGGCATATTCTCACGTACAGTAGCTACTATATTATTCATACTAAATGTTGGTTTATTATCATTTACATCTAATACATTAATAACCAAACTACCTATAAATGTAATAAATTGTTAATAGTTTGAGTATAGACAAAGTGTATGGTACGGGTGTCCGGTGTGGTAAAATCGATATAGAAGACAAAAGAAGGTTCAGACACAATGCCATATGATTCGCTCCGTATATTTTCTACTCTTTCCATACCCCGGCACCGTACACCACACAAGATACCATACCTTGCACCTTTACACTATATTTGTTATACTAATTGTTGGTTTAACTACGAATATAACAAATAAGTATTGTTAATCTACCTGTAGAGGTCTGAGGTGTTGGTATACCATTTCCATCAGTTACTTTAAACCGTAACATTATTTGCTGAATCGTTTCTCTGTCTAAATTCATCTTTAATTTTATTTCGCCAGTTGAGTCACTCAACTGAAGTAAGGACTGTAAAAAAAAATTACTTCAGAAGCAAAAACATAATAGTACGAAAATATATAGGTTCACTATATTTGTTAATCTTCAGCTTTCAGTGTCATTTATAATGTCTAGGGAATACCAAATTCTATATTATGCAACCTGTGATAAATTTAAGACCTTTTTTCCATCGTAAGTAGATATAGAAACGAAGAAGTAAACAGACCTGCAAATAAGTCAAATTAATTCTTTTCTGATATTCATCAAATCCATAACAATTACTCCAGATCATTTCATATTTTAACTCTGGATTGAAATCACTGTCATTAGCTTTGATGGTATATAAAGGCGTTAGAATATCACCAGTCTCATTCACAGAAATAGTATCAAATGCAGGGAAAAACTGTGGTGCTTTATTGTTTACATCTTCAATGGCGATGGACACTGTTGCTGTTCCAGTTTTCGATGGTGCACCACGATCTACAGCTTCAATAATCAATTGGTAGGAACTGGTCTCCTCTCTGTCCAGGTAACTAGCGACCATTATTTGGCCAGTTGTACTGTTTATTGAAAACTTATCTGAGCCCCCGTGTTTAATAATGTAAAAAACATCATTGTTGGGAGAGCTTCCATCTCCGTCAGTAGCTTTCAAAACTGGAGTGATATTAACCTTGTTTCCTGAAATATGAACACCCATTAAATAAAAAATACTATATGGTCAAAGAAACTGAAATCAGCACATTGTTATAAGAATAACAACAATTACATGAGAACAATACAAATGGGGTGAATAAAAGAATTACCTGAGCTTTCGGTTTCCAAAATGCTTGTATTATAAACCAAATGAGTAAAGGATGGGGTAAAGTCATTTCTATCCTACAAAAATTGTAAAAATCTTATAATATCTCTGAAAATGTATTGGAAAAAATGTTGAGATATCTGAAATATATGACTTGTCTGAAATATATACTTGTTGTCTAAAATAACTGATTTATTGTTTAAATATCTGACTTTGCATGTGATATCTGATTCTTGTCAGGTTAGCAGTACTGCTCGGTTATAATGTTTCAAGCATAATATATAATCATATATTGTTTTTGAGCCGAAAGAATTAGCATGTGTATACTTACCTCAATACGTATTAAGACATCAGTAGATTGACGGAGTTGTGGGAATCCCCCATCCCGAGCTGTTACATTAAGATGAATAGTACCATTGTCTGTTAATTGTAAGGCCTCAAAGTCAACTGGTGATTGAACACTAATAACACCGGTTTGTTGGTCGATAGTGAAGTTATTAGAGTAAGCATTAACACTAATAGAATATGTAATTTGACTATTGATTGTGTTCACTTCATCATTATCTGTTGCCTGGAGTATGAATAACAAAAATGTCACTAGGAAGAATGGAAATAACTTTTTGAAATGGTGTTAATTCCAAGGCAACAAAATACACTAGCCCTTTCTTGTTCAGATAATATTTGCCTAATTCGGCAATTGAACTCGCATTAAGCTACTAGTGGTCCTTTTCAGACTAGAGATTATATACAGTTCTTCTACAAACGACAAAAGTTCTTTGGAAAGTTCATAGAACAAGACATGTTGCAAAGCATATAAGATATATGAACTCATGTCTAACATTTTATTTATTTGGTATATCTATTACTGTTTTTGCTTGAGGTCATTCTTTACAATATTAGCTCCAAGAGTTTAATTTAAGGTGAAACCTTTATTGAATTTGAAAACTGCTCACAAAATTTCAGTACTCTGGAAGGTGCCCTGAACGAGCAGAACATGCAACTGTGAAACTGACTTTGTCAACACATCACCTTTCGGAGAGAAGTATAGTAGAGTAGCATTGTCCAAAATAACGGCTTAATACGCTACTGAGTGTATTATTCATGAACAGACCTGAACAACCAAATCCCTTGTAAAATATCGGTCCCCTTCCATTAAAATAGCTGTATACTCAGTTTTAACAAAGACTGGGTTTTCATCATTGATATCTTTAACAATGACTTCGATGGTCTCTGTACTCCTTTTACCACCCGTATCTAATGCTTCTATAGTCAGATAATATGTTGATTTCTTTTCACGATCCAAACTTGCATTCTTTAAATAAATACTACCATTTTCAACAATTGTAAATCTGGGGAAAGAAGTTGATGTCATAGGTTAACTATTTTTAATGAGACCCAGGTTATTCAAATGACAAGAAAAATTGGGCTTATAAAGATGGGAAAGACAATGTAGTGATTGTTGGGAGAAAGTTTGACAAGACAGCAGCATAAGCCTATTCCTCTTACAACTGCCAATATCGAGGGATCTCTATCATCCAGCATGCTACCGCTGTCAAAACCACTGAGACGCATTTTTCATGCAAGTCTCTCTGACAGGCTTTTTTATCCATAATTTACATCGGGGTGTAAATTCACTTCTTTCAACAACCGGGAATTGTTATTAATCACCAATATAAAATAAGAAATGGCTTACAATTCATATTCTCCACTCAAACTCAAATTAAATTGTCCATAGATACCAGTATCATTATCATATACCTGCAAATAATAATCTTTGTTGATAACAATCTCTGATATATTTGTCATATTTTTCCAATGACCCGACCCCTCACCCATGTACCGTGAATGATATTGCAAATCCAATTCTAAACCTGCTTTCACCAATAAGTATACCTTTATAAATGCAATGTATTTTTCTGTTTCTAAATTTCGAATAAGATTATAATAAGATTGTCAGGTTTTCTAAAACAAATATTTAAATGATTAATTCCATGCAAATACATTTCATCTAAAACATGTTCATACAACAATAAAGATGACTTAAATAGATTCCACTTGGAGAAGCTACTTACATCTACTTGGGTGACAAATGTATTTGGTGTCGCATTTTCATAAATTTCTGGTTTTGCATGATGGATAACAATTTGAGGTGCAAATTCGTTGACATTGTTAATTTGGATATATACATCAGCTGTGACGGGTTTATTTGGTCTAGTTAAAGGCTTAGCTACGATCTAAAATAAATAATATTTTTTTTTTGTCAATTCTATCTCATTAGGAGGAAAAGGTAACAAGCTAGTCGTTGAGAATGACATTGAGTAGGAGTTTTCCTGTTTTACATCAGCACCATCAATTTGTCAAGGGGTTCCGCGTGCAAGACGCTTGTTCGCTTACCTAGTGTTTCAGAATTTTATCCATCGACCAGGTGTCCAATTGTCTGTGATGCAACTCGATAACAATTGGAGAGGAGCAACCGTCTCACAGTGTTTTACAGTAAACCCAACTCACCCATACATGGTGGGTTTTCTATCAAATTGCCTAAAACTTATACCTGGAAAGACATACTTTCTCTTTGTTCGAAATCTAACATTGCGTTATTAGCAACTTTAATAACTATCGAACCAAGGGATGTAACACTTCTTGGAATAACAGAAAACGTCCCACTATCACCTCTTACTTCTACCTCAAATTTAGCATTATCACCCTGCAAAAAACAGTCATAGCATAAAATCATTACCTTGAAGTATATGCTGGCACATTGCAAAATTCATGGTTGCTGATGAAGCTTATGTGAAGCTATCTTAGGGGTTTTTTTCAGAATGAAGAAAAAAACTGAATGTGATAGAAATCTTAAATTTCCAGGCAATTATTTTTCCCAAAGCAGATATCAAGGAATTACCAATTTCAAAGCATCATTAGGAACAACTGCAGGAATCTGCAATCTGGAGAATCTAGTTCTAAGGTTCACTGAAATGTTTTTTTAGTATTTTTAGGTTTCAATACAGATATCTGTCTACGAAATCGCTATAATGGTGTTGGAAGTAATGAACATCTATACTTTACATGAAGCAACAGTCAAACATGCATGGATATCACAATAATATTTAGTAATGATAAAGAAAAAAGTTTTTATTAACCTGATCACTGTCTTCAGCATTCATAAAGTTTGGTGAAATAAATGTAATAGGGATATCTTGTGAAGCATTTTCCGTGATAGAAGCTGTATAATTTTTACTGTTAAATCTAGGTTGATTATCATCAACATCTATCACATTCATAATCAGGCTACCTTAAATATCAAATACAATACAAAAATAAAGACATGCAGTGTACAATAAAGAACTTTCCTTCTCTTTTTTAATACTCTACTGTTTCTTTAACATACATTTATTACCTCAACTAAATATCATATATGCTTATTTCCTTGCCAACCCTCTAAGTTGCAGCACAGGTAAAAAACAGTGACATCATCTTGACCTAAATCGGAATGGAACATTCAATCCGTAAGATATCGAATTATTATCTTAAGTCGCTGCACCATCCCAGATCTCTGAAGCTATGACAAAGAAAAACTTTCAATGAAGTTTTCAAACATCCTGAAACTTCAAATTGATGCAATCATTATAACAAATGTATACTAAACAGGACAAAACATGCTTCAGTGCATAGACTATTATCAGTCAGCAAATTGGTTTCGCAAATCTTCACCCCGCCCGATCCTTTTCGAAGGCAACAAAGCTAATTTTGATATTGACGTTAGAATACAGCTATACCTGTACTAGTTTGAGAATGTCCAATTGCATTTAAATCTTCCACAGTAATAACAAGTTTTATTTGGCGATATTTCTCACGATCTAAACCGCTATTTAAAACAATGCTTCCATTGGAGTTGTCAATAGATACCAGATTCTATAAGGGAAAAATAATTATTTTAGAATCTCCCAACACAATTACTGTAAATGATATGATTCTTTCAATTGGTTATGGTTTGTTCGGTTTTTTTTTTGGGGGGGGGGGGGTTTTGGAGTTAAAACTGAAATCTTAGAAAAGTTCAAATTAACCTGAATGACTGTAGCATTAACAGATTGTTGATTAGCTGCAATTCCTTGAGATAAGTTATAGTCTATACTATACTTCAAACTTGAGTTTTCATCTTTGTCTGTACCCAATAACCCAGCTAATGATCCAGTAGAATTCTCCTGAACATTTATTGTTTTTTCTCTCTGGGGGAAGATAGGTGGCGAATCGTTCACATCAGTGATGGTAATGTTTACTGTGGTATTACTTGAAAGACTGGGTGACCCTCTATCAGTAGCAATAATAATTAAACTATATTGTTCTGTGTCCTCTCGATCTAGACTACCAGCAGTGGAGATTTGTCCAGTTTGACTATTGATTCTGAATTTATCTGAACTACCACTGTATATTGTAAATGATATTTGGTTATTGGGTTCACTACCATCTGTATCGTTTGCAGTTACTGTCAGTATAACACTATCTAATTAAAGAGAAAATACTAATAGTTAATGACAAGATGGGTGGAAATCTAGATGTCGCATGCACTTTAGGTACCATTTGAGCTCATAACATTCTTCTAAGCAGTGAACAGTTACAAAAGTTCGTAATTAGTTCAGTCATGCCACGAAAGACAAAAAATGTTACCTGACAAATTATCCAAATTGCAATTCATTGTCAAGACAACAATGTTTAGACATAAAATAAGATAAATGTCCATTCTAGGTCAGCGATATCAGCATCTTCTGGAAGAGGATGTCATCTACCAACCAACTATTTTAGGTCATTCAAGAAGAAAATGGATGACAACGCCAGTCCTTGCTGAACTTATTGTTAGAACAGATCCAGATTATTTGGGTTTGTTTTTAGTGCTAAATGATAATGTATGTAGGATTAAGACAAGATGTTTTCGACAGACCTATTAAAATGTCTTCAGGAACTGACTTATGGTAGCTGGTGGCTGTAAAAACTGGTGAACATTCATTTTTATCCTGTAATGGAAACCATCAATAATAGTATTGTATATATCAATCCTTAACATATACAAATCTATTCAGCTCACAATATTTAGTTTGAACACTACAATAGTTTATTCAATTTCTTCAGTACAAATAGTAGGTCAGTACAAACGAATTTAGCAACATATTTGCAATCATTCGGGAATCATTCGGGAATCATTCGTCGACCTGTAAGCTTTAATTTCATGAGTCCAAGTCCAAAGACTGAATTTGTGTTTCACAACTCATAATACCTTGTGGAATGTCCACATAGCTTATATTGTTGATTTTGACACTCTTTAACACACGCTGTTACTCATAATTTAATTTTAAATGTATACTTACAGTTACAGTAATAATAATAGTAGTACTGTTTGATTTTAATCTAGGTGCCCCATGATCTTCTGCTATTACTGATATATTTACTACACCAGACGGCAAAGCTTCGTAATCTAAAAATTGTGTTAATACCAGTTCACCATTAGTAGTTATTGCGAAATTATTCAGCTGATCACCAATGGACTTGATTATTCTATATGACACAAAACTATTAACTGTATCCCTCTCATCATTATCTGTAGCCTTAAACGAATATCAGTCATAAATATCACTTTTTAGAATTTATTCATTTTGAAAGTTGTAAGCTGATTTCTTCAAAACTTGGGAATCGCACTAGGAAAGTCCAACACTTGGGAAACGTGGCATATAACGAACGATACTTTAGAAAATAATAAATGTCAAAGCGATTCCGTTGGCATTTAATTTCAGAATCTGCAAATGGTACTCTTATACTGATTTTACAGACTCATGTTTTTGTCACATTTTTGTCAAAGTCACCTTATTGAATCTTGGAAAACTTCAATACTTACTGTTACTTGTACAATTCTAGTAAAGTTACTATTTTCTTCAACAAAAACTTCATAAACATCTTTTTGAAATACAGGGTAGTTATCATTAGCATCCAGGAGATCAACTGTCAATGATATAGAAGACCTTCTATTTCCACCATCTTTAGCCTCTACTGTTATAAAATATTGAGATTTTAATTCACGATCTAAATCTCCATTTACCATTAATGTACCATTGCTGGGATCTATTGCAAACCTGATTATTGTAAAAAATAAAATTATAAAGTTGTTCTTTTTCGATATTTCTGTATTATTTAACAATGGAAAAATATTCTTTTTATTGTAATATAAATATAAGTTTAATCAGCAAAATAAATTTTTACATATTCTAATGCTGAAAAATAAAAGGATATTTTCTTAGTGGCTCATATATTGTAAAATTGGCAATGCCACCCACCCCCAGAAAATACTTACACAACCGACCAATTCCATTACCTCAATTAAACACCATACACTATTGCCCCTCCGGATATATTACTTGCTCTTCCGAACAAAAAAATCTGACCACAGGCCTGGGATTATTTATAAATATGCTTTGTTATGTATCACGACAGACCAGTCTTCATGTAAACTTGCCCTTCATGTTTAAATACACTTACTTGTTATCACCACCATTTATTGAGTAAGTAATTTGGCCAAATTTTCCCGAATCACGATCTGTAGCCTTTTTACATGAAATAAAAAAATGTTATGTTTTGTAATGATATGCAGCATTCTGCAGCTCACTGCCTGAATAAAATACAGTCAGATCCTCCAGGGCCGGTCTTACATCAAGACAAATGAGACAAATGAGGCCTCATGCAGAATTGACAAAATATATGTTTTGTTTAAAAAAGTAATAATATAAATATGATACCGGCTAAATATATTGATTATTTGATGTCTAAAGTTAAATATGGTCATTGTTTGCCTAATAGAAAAAAAACCCTATTTGTTACGACCCTGTAAGCTAGGCCAAATTTTGGATTATGGTGCATAGAACAGGAAATGTGAACTGACGGACAGAGCGATGTGAGCATATAAAAATGAAAACGAGAATGACCAATCATAAAATTTCAGAAAACAAGAATGATCAATTATAAAACTGAAAACAATACTGGTCAATTGTAAAGACATAGGAATGTTCAAAACAAAAATGACAAATTATAAACTTTGGAAGACTGAAAACAAGATTGACCAATTATAAAACTTTCGAAGACTGAAAACAAGAATAACTGATTATATATTATATTATATCGTAACTAAGTTCAATAAAATTCAGATAAAACTATTGCGTTCACTTGCCAACTACGGAAGGGCGGACCGACGGACGGACAAGGGAAACGGCAATATACGACCACATTATCATGACCAATTATAAAACTGAAAACAATTAGAGGACACAACTATACATCTTTGAAAGATAGTTTGCCAGGCAAGGTAATATACGCCCACTGGCAGCTTTGATTTTGAACATAATTATTTAGCAGTACAGTAACAATTACCAGTATGAAATATTCAACCTTCAGTCATACACTTCTTTTGAACTCTTTAGGGTGATACTGAATAATATTGAGTATGAGTTATTACCCTAGTTCTCGATCTGTAGCTCGTGAAAACTCTAGAAGACAAATATTCAATCTTCAGCGCGGTGATGAATAATAAAGAATCATACCTTCTAGAGTTTTTATGAGCTACAAATTGAACGAGTTTTCAAGATCAAGGACAATAACTCATACTAAATATTTTTTCGATTTTTCTCATTTTCAATAAGCTTTATCCATGGGTGATAACAAACACTCAAGCCAAATTTCGTTAAAATCCGCCAAGAATTGTGCCTTCTAGTGCGTAAAATTGAACGCATTTTCAAGAACAAGGGCAATAACTAATACTTAATTTTTTTCAATTTTTCTGATTTTCGATAGGATTTATCCTTGGGTGATTACAAACACTCACACCAAGTTTCGTCAAAATCCATCAAAAATTGTGCATTCTAGAGTGTTTACAAGCTAAAATTAAACGCGTTTTCAAGAACAAGAGTAATAACTCATACTAAATATTTTTCAATTTTTCTGATTTTCAATAGGGTTTATCCTTGGGCGATAACGAACACTCATACCAAGTTTCATCAAAATCCGTCATGAATTGCACCTTCTAGAGTGTTTACGAGCGTTTCAAGAACAAGGGCAATAACTCATAGTAAATATTTTTCGATTCGTCTGATTTTCAATAGGGTTCATCCTTGGGTGATTACAAACCACCATACCAAGTTTCGTCGAAATCAGTCAAGAATTGTGCCTTCTAGAGCGTAAAATTGAACGCATTTTCAAGAACAAGGGCAATAACTAATACTTAATATTTTTCAATTTTTCTGATTTTCGATAGGATTTATCCTTGGGTGATTACAAACACTCACACCAAGTTTCGTCAAAATCCATCAAAAATTGTGCATTCTAGAGTGTTTACAAGCTAAAATTGAACGCGTTTTCAAGAACAAGAGTAATAACTCATACTAAATATTTTTCAATTTTTCTGATTTTCGATAGGGTTTATCCTTGGGCGATAACGAACACTCATACCAAGTTTCATCAAAATCCGTCATGAATTGCACCTTCTAGAGTATTTACGAGCGTTTCAAGAACAAGGGCAATAACTCATAGTAAATATTTTTCGATTCGTCTGATTTTCAATAGGGTTCATCCTTGGATGATTACAAACCACCATACCAAGTTTCGTCGAAATCAGTCAAGAATTGTGCCTTGTAGAGTGTTTACGAGCAATTGTGGACGGACGGACCGACGGAAAGAGGTGACGGCAATATACGCCCCCCATTTCATGTGGGCGTATAAAAACTGAAAACAAGAATGAACAATTATAAAACTTTGGAAAACTGACCAAAAAATTAGCAAGCTTAAAATAAAGGATGAAAGTACAAACAAAAAACTATTATTACCTGTATATCTGCAAAATATGATCCACTTCGCGTGTTTTCATCTACTCGTAAATCAGTTTGAAAAGATGAATTAAACTCAGGATTATTATCATTAGCATCTTGTATAGTCACATTAACTGTAGCTAAACTAGTTTTACCATCAGATGTTTGTGTTTCTTTTGCCATTATCTAAAACAATTATTAAAAATGTTGGTCACAGTATGGCCACAAGATGAAGTGGGCACATATATTTGGTCACAAGATCAATTGGTTACATTAAATTTGTAACAGAAATTTGGTCAACTAAATCCCTCAGTTTAAAGAATAGATGAGGCACCGTGTCCGGAGCCGTGACTCGTGTGTTCACTTGTATTGTTCTTTTGTATCGATTATTCCGGATCGTAAACCGCGCCGGACACCGTACCTCGTCTATTCGTGGCTTTAAACTGAACATAATGTTTTGACCAAATTTCTGTAATCAAATTGCTGAGATAACTTTACCTCGTATTACCTTTTGTCTCAGTTAAAGTTGTGTATATCAATCATCCCATCTTCAGTTTTGGATCGGGTACAGCCAGTCATAACCCCCAATTACACACACAGCCAAATTGTTTTCTGTCGAGGGCTCTGATGGACTGTATCCCTTAGCCCACAATACAATCAAATACCTGCATTAACAAACTTCCACGATACAAGGAAAGGTGGCTTTTCGTAATAGCTTGACATTTTGAAGATGTAATCAGCCCCGAAATTATCAATAAAATTGAAAAGCTTACCTTGATGCTTAAAAATTTATGAGTTTCATAATCTAATATGGTGTTATTCTTAACTCTTATAAATACCGTGGCTTTTGAATTTACTGTGACTGGATCTACCTCAAAATACTGGTCCAATGTCAATAATGTCAGATTAAATATACTGTTAGTACCCTATAGAATAAAATAGAGTCAAGTAGCGGGAAAGATATATGTTTCTCCTTTCTGATTTCCTTCTAATCTTAGCTCAAATTCATATCGTATATCTTGGGAATGGTTAGCATGTAAATTGGTGTGTTATTTTCTGAAATTTGCGAAACAAAAATACACTTCATAATGTCTTAACAATATTTTTTTAAACTTGTTTCCATAACTTGCAAAACCTTCAAAGTGGCCAAGTTTTCAACATATTTCAATTCTAACCAGGCGATTTTTACCTGATCTTTGTCTTCAACACTCATATCCATACCAGTAAACTGAAGTGGTATTTGTTCTGGCATATTTTCTTCGATCGTTGCCTGGTATCTTGAAGCAGTAAAATTTGGTCGATTATCATTTATATCCTTTATAGTTATGGTATAGTCAGTAATGGTACTGCTGTTGGAGGTTTGATTTGATATTTCTTGTGCCTAAATTGAAAAATAAATAGTATAAACTGACATTAAGATATATAGTGCAAGCACAGTGAAATTCTTGGAAATCGGCCACGTACGTACGTGCTACTCTTTGTTGGAATTAAAATGAATCATCGTGAAGCAAATTGACTCTTCTGGAACACTTGCTACAACATTGCATTTTTGTAGGTTTCTTTGGATAGCACAGGTAGTAGTGTGTAGGGTAAGTAAATTCAGTCACTACCTTAATCTGACCTCTACACACACCATTTTTGATGAGAATTATCCCTGAATCTCTATCAGGTACAGTTGATAAGGTAATTCTACCATTCAAATGATCAATGTGAAATATTCCACCACAATCATCTATAATTCAAATATCAAACAAATATCAGGCTAATAGTTTGGTTATTTCAAACAATGTGCAAGATTTAATTTACAAAAGAAATTCTATTGTAGAAGCGTCCATCAGTATTTAGTATTTTTAAATCTAGTTATAATTTCTTCTTTTCTGTGCCAAATAGGCTAAATTGTGCACAAAAATACGCTGGTTTATAGAAATCCAAAACCATCTACAACTCGATTTCTAAAAGCCAGAAAAAACACTTTAAAAAAAGACTTTATGAATATGGTTTAATACCTATTCTGAATCATTGAAGATGGCAAAGAAGGAAAACACATTCTGCACTCTAGGCATCTTTCTGACTCATAAAATTGATTGTAAAGAGGTTTACTAAAAACTCGATGTGTATCAAGGACAGAATCAATTTGCGCCATTCCAATTTTCAATCCAACGCCTGTGGTTCCAGACAATGTGAACCAATATCTTATGTTGTTTCAACGCATTTTAGCAATAAATTTTAAAAGCAATATTATATTGAATATTTGAAGAAACAACTAAGACAACTACTGTATAATATATAAAAATGTCAGTTACCTGTAATAGTATAGTTAATAGAGTTGGGAACACCAACATCACCATCTACTGCTTTAACATCATTACTTACTTCAAATCCCTGTAACATTTATTATTTCACATCATCAAAATGTTCAGTAGAAAATATTGGGCAAGGCAATGGTAGTTGTGTATAGGACGAATGAAATAAAAAGATTTTGAGGTGTTACGCCTATGGATGTTGAAAATATTGAAGCAATATTAAAAGTTTTTTATTCTCTTTATGCTATATGACACTTTTTGAATTTGTGTCATAATATGAAGCCAAAAATGTGCTTTATTAATTAATATACGTAATACCTGACTGGACTGTTCATCTACGTTCCAATCATATGGTATACCAGTAAATATTGGTGGTTCATCTTGTACATCATTTACTGTTATATATAATGACGTAATACTGCTTAAACTTGGTGTTCCACCATCCTAAAAGAATAATGTAAAATCAAATCACTAAATTTTACTATACCGATACCTCTCGAAAGGCTGACAATGATAATATTCCACCCACATGTAGTGGTTTTGGGGTTTTTTTTTGCAAATATCTAAAATCACTCGTTTCGTTGAAAATGTGTTCGCAAGAAAAGACATAAAGTATTTAGAATATTTTCTTGGTCGAGCAATAAATTGGAATACATTTTTCTTTCTTCAATACATAAGTTTATATGTTCACGCTAGCTAAGGCTGAATTATTGTCAGCAAGTTACTGTTTTTACTTACTTTGGCTAGAAGTGTACATTCATAAAATCGTGCTTGTTCGAAGTCCAACTGGCCATTTAATGATACCTTCACCGCCTTTTGTCCACTTATAGGAGTTAAAGAAAACTCTGTACATGTGTTGTCCTTAAACAAAATAAAATCATTAAAATAATCATTGACACTAAAAAACCACCAGGCTAATGCCGCTGTCCTGGCAAAATTTCCCTTATTGCAACCTGCATGGCGTTGCCCGTTTTCATTATCCCAAATGATGCAGAAAGGTAGGACGTAAAACTCCATTCATTTCATTTCATTTCTGCCTTCTTAGCCAACACTTCAAGTATTTGTTTTGTATATTTTGTAGGCTTATACATGTATACATACATGTACATGTTCTACATTGTCAATGCTACACGCCATCTGAGGATCCCATTCAAAACATAAACTAAATTCTATATTTGATTGATTTGACTGATATTAAGTACATGATTAAAAGTTCTTGTTTGACTGATATTAAGTACATTGATTAAAAGTTCATGTTTGACTGATATTAAGTACATTGATTTAAAGTTCATGTTTGACTGATATAAAAAAAACATTTATGTTTAGTTCATGTTTGACTGATATAAAGTACATTGATTTAAAGTTCATGTTTGATAGATATAAAGTACATTGATTTAAAGTTCATGTTTGACTGATATAAAGAACATTGATGAAAAGTTCATGTTTGACTGAAAAGAAAAACATTTATGTTAAGTTCATGTTTGACTGATATAAAGTACATTGATTTAAAGTTCATGTTTGATAGATATAAAGTACATTGATGAAAAGTTCATGTTTGACTGATATAAAAAACATTTATGTTAAGTTCATGTTTAACTGATATAAAGTACATTAATTTAAAGTTCATGTTTGACTGTTATTAAGGACATCCATGAAAAGTTCATGTTTGACTAATATAAAGAACATTGATGAAAAGTTCATGTTTGATTGATATAAAGAACATTGATGTTAAGTTCATGTTTGACTGTTATTAAGGACAATGATTTAAACTTTATGTTTGACTGATATAAAGGACAATGATTTAAAGTTCATGTTTGACCGATATACATTTTGCTGATATGAAGCCTTTTGTTTCCCTAAGAAAATTTGTGACTGAAATGCACTATTGTTGAAGTGATACAAAGTTCATGTTTAAGTTGCTATTAATTGGAACGTTCATGTTTGACCTTTATAAATTTCACTTGAAAGATGGTTTTTATACACATTTTCACAAAATTGATTGTAATCACGAGGAACTTACAATAAAACTAAAATCAACCGCTCCACCATGACCATTATCTGGGTCTTTTGCTTCAATATTAACGTTCAATACCGTATTTATACCAGCATTCTGAAAACATCACAATCAACATCTTTAGAGAAAAAAATAAGAAATCTTTGCAACTATAGCCGCCTTACCACCAATTTTCTATTACTATTGTGGGATCTTTTAACAGTATATACAGATTGTAGTACATCGTACCATAGTCAATCCATTACAATAGTACTTTTGCCTTAACAGTCGTATCCCTGGATGGTAGGGTCAGGCACAATCTTGACCTATACAGGTGGGGCATAATATGCGATTCACAGTTGAAAAAAGGGTTATTTGAATGCCATAGATAGGGATTTTATGCATATTTATACAACAATATTTTCACAAGTTAACATTACAATGGTAGGAAAATAAAAAACGATTGTTTACCTCAGGTACATTAGCTATATACGGTTGATTTAAAAACTGAGGTTTCACATCATTTACGTCTAAAATAACTATACTTATCTACAAAATATCAATATTATATTGTAGCATTTCCGTATAATATACATAAATCTACAATTAACTTCAATCCCTTATTATACAAAATACTCCAATCCAGTATTATACAAATAACTCCAATCCAGTATTATACAATGTACTTCAACCCATCATTATACAATATACTCCAATCCAGTATTGTACAAATAACTCCAATCCAGTATTATACAATGTACTTCAACCCATCATTATACAATATACTCCAATCCAGTATTGTACAAATAACTCCAATCCAGTATTATACAATATACTTCAACCCATCATTATACAATATACTTCAATCCAGTATTGTACAAATAACTCCAATCCAGTATTATACAATATACTTCAACCCATCATTATACAATATACTTCAATCCAGTATTATACAATAAACCACAATCCAGTATTATACAAATAACTCCAATTCAGTATTATACAATATACTCCAATCCAGTATTGAACAAATAACTCCAATTCAGTATTATTCAGTGTACTTCAACCCATTATTATACAATAAACTTCACTCCAGGCAACGTATTCTCAAAATGATCGTAGCGCTAGGATGTATTGGAATCAATATTAGAAGATAAGAGCTTAGGACAACCTAGTGCTAAGATCGTTTCGAGAATAGTGACCAGTATTATACAATGTACTTTAATCCAGTATTATACAATGTATTTCAATCCAGTATTATACAATATGCTTTAATCCAGTATTATACAATATACTTCAAACCAATATCATATATGATACTACAATATTTGTTGTGGTCTTAGCCACAGTTGTAAAGGTTGGATTGCCGAACGTCATCCACAAATTTGTTTTTCATTTGATTGTTACCATTTAAATTGCAAAAAGATGGGAATTTGGTTTGAACATGAAATTATGTCTCCTTATATTGAATACTGCAAATTCAATTAGAATTCATTAGACCATTCGGCATACCACCTTGACCAAATACCTATCAATTTTTACTAAATCCTGCAGCACTTTGGTTTCAAGCAATTCCTTAATTCTGTGATAATTACCTTTTTGTCCCTATGACCTCGTTTTTCATATTCGAAATACAAATGTAACATTGCAACTCCCTGAAAAGAAGTACATAAGGTAAAAAAATTTCAAGTTTAAGTTTGGTTTTAAGTCTTAAAGTTTGACTTTCAGAATCAATAGGTAAATTAAGATCCGTTAGTTTGCCCCGTTTAAAAACGTCTATATCCATACATACTGAACTACGGTCTAAACTAAATATTGATAAATGGAGTGGTTTTAAGGATACTACCTCTTAAAATGAACATTAAATTTAATGTCTCAAGGCTGGTCAACATATTATGTAGGCCTATATATTCGTCGAGTGTACTTACCAGGTGCTATGAATAAAGAATGAATTTCTATATAAGACGTTGTATCCCTTTACATTGGCATTCCGCTTATTTTTAAAATATTTTCATTATCAAAAATGTCGAAAATTTTACCCAAAAATAGTATGCTATTTATATCTATGTATCTATTTGATCAAACTGAATTTGTTAACTTACTCAAACTTTTTAGATAGTTGTGGCATTAAAAAACTAACTGCTTCATTTTTTTAGTTAAAAGTTTCACATACGTTCAGCGTATCCAAACCACACACCATTAGTAAGACATAAGACTATGTCAAAACCCGTATGATACGATGACATACGCTACGCGTCACATTTCTCTAGATTTTGGTGTAAAGTTTTCACAAATTTGAGCCCAAAAAAATTTCGACCTAGGCCTACATAACTAGCGTAATGACCCTTTAAATAATTATTGAAACGTGCTTCTATTCTATGTTGTTGTATAGTGTTATGACTCCAGGTCCACTAATGAACAAAGACTCATTTTGGCCAGGTTTAAAATGTCAATCTTTTGGTCATCCTAAGAGGTAGTATACCCTAAAACAACTATGGTAATTTAGGTCTGAGCTGGTACTCAACTTGAAACTTCAAAACATTGCCATTTTGGCTAGCTGAGTATCCCATTGGTACCCCATGGTACGAAAATATTCAAGTTATAAATAAAAATATTGTAGCAGTCTTGTTATCCTTACACAGAAAAACTGTATTTTCATTAGGAGTTATGGGGCTAAACAGACGAAAACAACTTACGTAATCTGCGTCTAGAGCAGTTTTCAGGAGAATTTTCCATGTATTTGTGGCACCATCAGGAACAAAGTCGATCAATTCTTTGGTAGAATCAGACGGTCGCAAGTTACTTTCCTCACTATCAAGGGAAAGTTTTCCGAGCAGTGTTCCTACAGACGAAATGAAACAAAACATTTTGTTAAATGACTATTTCTGTTAAAATTTTACAGATAATTTGACCTCCTGATAAAGAGTTTGAAACCCTGTTGTGGTAGGTGGATAACTTTATTGTTACCTCGGATCTTTAACCGGCTTTCTTTGTCTCCATTCTTTCAAATATTGGCTCCGTTATGCGAGACGTTACCCTTCATCAAAATAATCAGTGAAAAGTTGAATTGAAAGAGATTTTATATGATTTCCTTTATTTATAATTTCATGTTCAAATTTTATTCCCTTGTTTGGAAATTGAACTCGTAGCAATCAAATGAAAATCTTTACAATTGTAGTTATGATCATTTACGTCACCTGAAACAAGTAAGTAAGTAAGACTTGGCAAAGATTTGGCACAAAATAAATATGAAATATAGGACTAGAAGTATATAGATTTGCGTGTCTGCGGATTGGAATCGGAGATTGTCATTCTTAAAGAGGTTCTTGGTAATATGTTAGCCTACTTCGTGTGTATTCATATATTTGTCCAGCAGTTTGAAATAAAGGCATACATTTTTTTTTTATAAACAATATTTTATTAATACATTAAATAGATTGGGGAACAGGCTTATATAACCCCTCTCCATGACAAATTTCAAATTTAATATAACTTTTAAGAAAAGTAAATAAATATATATATATATAAACTCAAACGTATGTACAATCATTTCAAAAACATCTATGGAAAAAGTGAGGCTGCTTTAAAAGGGAAAAATGATAATAATGATAATAATAATAATATCGATCATGCTAAGGCATAAATTGCATCAAGGAACCAGATGTTGAGGTTGTGGTTGCGCTAAATGGGAATGTTAGAAATGATATAAGTAAAAAATTACCATTTGGAGCGTTCTCTTGTATTACATCAACAACGTTAATTTCCTGTATACCACGAGCAACTACAAAAGATTTTATAAAATAAACAGATTGTTGAACAAAATTTGAAAATTTAAATCTGTGTTTAGAGATCAACTTTTCCAGAATACTCGATACAATAGAAAACTATAATACGTATAGAAACAATCAAAAACATTTCATAAAATTGGGTAATTTTTAGCTACCAACAACAACATTTTGAGAATGTCATAAGAGACGGATTCGCTTTTCTTGAAGAAATCAAGAACTTTCTAGACAACGAGTCTGCTCTTAATAAACTGCTCACCATGTGTGAAAAACACTAGAACTATAAAATAGACGCTTGACTTCTTAAGATCCATTGCCCTGAAAGTTAAAAAAGAAAACTTATAAACGGGGGAACATGTGTACCAATAAAAAATTTAATGAACTTTCTGAAAGTGATCCCCTCTCGACGTCGCAGAGAGGCAGCAGGTGTTTCAGAAATGTTTGCAATCATTTCCCTTTAATATTAAAGTTCATGTTTAAGTTGCTATTAATTGGAACGTTCATGTTTGACCTTTATAAATTTCACTTGAAAGATGGTTTTTATACACATTTTCACAAAATTGATTGTAATCACGAGGAACTTACAACAAAACTAAAATCATTTCCCTTTAATATTTGATTTGCTTTGTTCTTTAATTCATTGGGTTTTCTTGTTAAAGAACCTCGATACTATATACGATGATCAAAATTTGTAGCTTTTATTCCTTTATACGCATTTGATTATAACAATTTATTCCGTTATGTTGTATTGTGTTGTGACTGAGTCACTGAATAGTGATCTATAAGGTACAAAATGACCCAGTATCGTACCACGATAAAGAATTAAGGAAGTATCGTTATCTTATCATCTTAATACTGTATCAATATTATATTTTCAAATCAATTTTACATGAAATAATACACCTGGCTTTTAACAAAAAATGAACTTGCATCTGGGTCAGTGATATTTCAACTACAAGTAGATAATCACAGAATATAAGATGAGTTGTGATCGTTAATAATGAAGATATGGGTTGAAATCCTATGCCTAAGAGATCAACATTCTGGAGATACGAAACCAGAAAATGATAAGAATATCGCGGAATTTTTTTTATTGCAATTGAATTATAACGAAATTATAGATCTAAATTTCAGATCAAATTCAACTTTCGTCATTTCCGGTGATTATCATTGCGTTTGTATTTCAGTCAGAAAACAACAATGGTTTCTATTTATCACATACTATGTTCCATAAAGTGAATCTAAGAAATGATTTTTATACATCTCGTTCAAAACTCGAAAATATACACTTATAACTATATTGACTTTTTTGGACGGATTTTTGAAAATCACAGATCTGGTTGTTGTTTTATCGTAATGAACGTATGGCTTCTTCCTCCGCACATGTTTTCACGATTATAAATGACAAACCCTAATCGATGCCAGGACAAATTGAAAGACTTACCGTTACTAAAATCTAAATCGAATTGTCTCATATATTATCAAATCACATCACAAAATGCATTGTATTTCCTTAGAAAAGAAGTTCGGTTGTAGGCAATACTGATTGAAAGCATTGATAAAGATTGGCCTCAATTGATAAAGTTATTAAAGGGGTGTGATAGTCTAATGTTCACTGTGCATGTATCAGCTATTACTGAACACACCTTTATAAGATATACGATTAGACACTTGATTTTCATTTATAACGAACCATCTCAATAATGTATTAACCAACGGCAAGAGTAGATCCGCTGACCACCTCTTGGTCCAGTGCCTAGTTCATATGTTCTTTCTGACATTTAATAGCCATCTTACATTGGAAAGGCGCCCTTATTGAGCTCTGGGTGTGTTAAGGTCTCATAAGCGTGGTATTACTATCAGCGTGACGAAAGCGTCAGACATTGTACGAAATACTGGTTATTTAAAGGAATGTCGTAAAACTGCGGTTTGGTGAAAATGTGTTTATGAGGGTGGAAATATTAATGCCTAAGCTTTGATAAACCTGGATCGAAAGAGGGTATTGTTCTTCTGACCCATCCGATATATTATTGGGGGTATAAGCTGAATAAGGAGACTACAGACCAGAAAGATGTTTGAATTACCCCCCTTTAACTGCAAAGACACTTAATAATATCTATTTGTGCTCTGCCCCACCTAACCAATTTGAAGATAAGACGGATGTATCCATAAACTATTTATATATGATCGCTAGCCTATGTTCTGTAAGACGTAAGCTAAAATGAAATTATTCCCCCACAATGAAGACTATAGACAACAAATACGTTTGAATTATCTCCCTTCTACCACAGAACACGCATTAACAAATCCTAATCTAATTTAATACATAGAGTTGTATCTATAAACTCTATGGATTAATATGAGCATTAAATTGTTTACCACAGTGAAGACTACAAACAACAGCTACGTTTGAGTTATCCCCCTTTTACCACAAAGCACTTTAGCATATATCCAAATCTAAGTGTACAATTAATAAATATGCGATAAGACGTAAATATCCATAAGCAAACTATGTGGAATGGTCTGCAAGTCGTAAGATGCGAGGTAAGATAAAATAACAAGCCGTACTGCCAAATAGCCAGACTTGATTGTTCCGAAGGGCAAGTAATATATCAGGAGGGACAATGGTGTATGGACAACGCCATGCACAGTGCAATGAGGCAAATTTTGCCAGGACAGCGGCATTAGCCTCCTCTTTTTCGATTTCCAACTGGCAAGGTACCTTTAACGCGCACGATTTATTGTCCCATCCGAACGACTAAACGCTTTTTCCACGCCAGTCCCTCTTACCTGCATCACTGACAGTGGGGTACAGGGTTGAAAAATCGGAAGGTATTATCTCGACCTATGCTGGGATTGAGCCCTGAACCTACAGGTTAGCGAGATTGTTATGCTGGGAAAGACTTTCGCTGTTATAAGCAGGGCCTAATTGTTGCATATATTTTCATTATTCGCTGTAAAACGCCTTTTCAGACGGATAATCAACCCTTTTCAACATCGACATTTGGAAATCTATCAAGTATAAGAATCTATACATAATGCTTTCTTGGTAAAAATGTCCTCTTCAGAGCTCATTGAGCGTTTGTAGACATTGTCTTGTCGCCCTCTGTACTTACACAATATTTTCTTTTCATATTTAAGATTTTTTGTTCAGTCCGGGTACGACATACAAGGCTCTTTTAATAGAACCCACTCAAAAATGATTTTGAAAAAGTTTGATTAAAAAGGGTAGTTGGGTGTTTGAGTAGGAAGGCTGTTAGACAGAGACGTAAGATTCTGCAGATCACTGTTACTTGAACGGTTTTTGAAAGTGATATCTTGCTTTTTTAGACCTGTAAGCAAGTCGTTGTGATAACTGTGACCAACTGTGGCGGAAACTTTAGCGGCGAAGTTGGCTAAGCTGCTGAACTCTGACTTCACGTGACTTCAGTTTACCACGACTGTTTCTTTGAATTTTAGGCTGAATTAAAGGAACGCAAACATTGTGTTTTGGGAATATTAGTTAAAGTTTTCTAAAGATAAATCATCCAATTAATGAGTAATGTACCAGGTGATGTACAATTTAGATTAGATGGAAAACAGAAGTAAGCTGCTCCTCGATCCGCCTCGGTGGTAAGTCGAAACATCATGACAGGTATCCTGTGAATTGCGGCAGCGACTAACGGCGGTGGAAGACATGCTCTTTTGGTCTCTGAGGTGTCTGGTGATGGCGGACGTTTGGTGTGTGTGTGTTGGTACAAAGTTAACCACCCCATTGCTCCTTCCAGAGGCGTCGACCGGTGAAGTGGATATGCTGGTGTCCCTTGTTTTGTTCCCGACGAACTAATTACATTAGGCAATCCTCGGCAGGTCCCGTTAAGCAGGATCTGTCTCTGTAATGAATAGTGAATTTTGTTGTATTTTCTTCAGCGAGACTTCAGCGGCAACGGAGTGCGGTATGCGAAATGCGGTAAATATACCGCACTTCTATTCATCGGAAGGCGTTAACGTGGCGGTATCACTTCAAGTTTCATAAGCATGTCGCCCATCTGGTCCGTTCCTTCTCAAACACAATGCAACCGAATCCAGCGGGATGTAATCATCGCCGTTAGGGCCTATGTGATAGCAAGGAAGAGACGTTCTAGACGAATTGTTTGTTTGATTGGTGTTTATAACCAGTACATCACAATGGTGATGGCTTGATTTGAGCCCGAGCCTTGTATGTCGGAACAGCTGAAGACGTGCGCTACGCGGCCACGACCGGCTCCAAACTTAAAAATGAAGCTCACCATCTAGTCCTTCCACTTTCAACGTTTTTGCTATGCTCTCCCAGGCATTACTCATCTTCTGTGCATCCATATGACTGTCGTCCTTGGCATCGTAGATGAAAGGACGTTCCCTGATGAGTCCGACCAAGCGTTCGATTACATCGTCCGGAAGTTGTTTTCCTCTAGGCATTTTGACTTATGGGCGCAACTTCACACGCAGGAATGCATGGAAACTATAAAACAAAGCTCGGATAATTGCTACACGTGGACTTAAACCGCCACGGTATATTATACCGCGCGGAAAGATCGCTACTCCGACCGATCGGTTTTACCGCGTACCGCGTGCCGCAACCGACTCGCATAACGCATACCGCGTAACGCGGTCCGGTAAACGGATTAAGGAAAATGGCTTGGAGCGAAAAAATCTCTATACCGCATTCCGTTGCCGCGTGTTCGATAAACTCACCTTAAGACGGTAGTAATGACATACTGATGACGTGTAATGCATCGCAATTTTAGTGGGTTTCTGGCTATGCCTAGTCTAAACCATAACGCAAACCCCATCTTCCATATCACCAAAACTGTAGAAAGAGCACATTGGCGATAAATATTCGTTGATGTTGCAGGGTATGCTTACTCTGAATAAACACTTCGCGGTACACGGTGTGCTGATCCCTTTATTTATATTTTTTAGGTAACAAAGTATAGGGAATTAACAGTCAGTGGTAAATGAACAAGATAAACGACAACTCAGGTGTGATCCAGAAAAGTTTTACGGGTTTACTTTATTTTTAATAGCTCAGATATAGCAAACCATGCAACCTCAGCACTTGTATCACCAACGAATTATGTTTGTAGGTTTTAGTTTCATGTTAGGTTAGATAGTATAATTCATTGGGGAATACAATGATTTGATTAAATTGATTTCTGATAAACTTGTGAAAGCCATAATAAGGGTATATGGCTAATTACTATAGATGAATTGATATAACCTTTTGGTTTTGCCTTACAAATTTATCTCACTTAGCTAGAATATAATGTATGCCTCTTAATGGATGCCTTGAACGTGTTAAACTACTTGATATGAACACTACGGGATATTCACAACACACCTATTAATCTCTTAATTCTAGCTACGGAGGAAAGTGAGAAGTTCAATCCTGGATTAGGATTAATGATTACTTATCTATCAGTTTAACATGATAGAAACAATCAGTTATTGTCTTGCATGTAAAATGTTTTTCAGTCGAATAATCTGTACATCCTAAAGTGGTGATTACACATTTATCACTTCAATTTTAAAAGGGCTGAACGATATAAAGGGTTTTTGTGGGTTAACAATACCCTCACCGTTATCTAACAGGGTCTTTGTCCTATTTTCTTTTTGTTATGACGGCTGCAATACAAACTGAGCATACGTTTTTTAGATGTCTGGCTTTGAACAAGGTAAAAGGCTGGCCCACACATTTTGGTGTGATAAAATGTAGATGAAAAGACAGTAGGGTGCACAATGAAGTATTGTGATCGTGAGACTACCTTTATGTACAAAATAAAAGCAATTCGCTGTCTTTGACATAATTATATACAGTAAGAAAATTTGAGGACACCGAAAGGGTTCGAGATCTCATTTGTGAACTTGATATGTGAACTCTGATGTATGAAACCTAATTTAGCATATCGCTTTATATTACTTTATATTGGAATATACCTGTGTTTATAGGATATTAATGTGAATGGAATATAAGTGATTGGATTAACAAGAATAATTTACCTTATAAATTATAATTTAAATTAACTGAAAGGTGAGACTTTGATGGAAATCTTACTTTATTTAAATACACAATCTGTTTTATTACGTGCATTTATGAACGAATTTTCATATTTTTGACACTGTTAAAATGAATTAATTCCCCGTTATGGATAGGCAGATAACAGTGGGAATTATCAATTTCTCTCGTAACCAATATAATATGATGCATTTAAGCTATATTGTATGTTTATATTATAATTAATATTGAATTTTTATAAGTCTTATATTATACTGCAATAAATTAATATACACATGATAAGTGCACCAAATAGTTTACTAAGTAAAACTATGTTCCAACTTTTGTCAAACAAGTTAAAGGTACAATTACAGCTGAAATAAAAGCTCAAGATAATTTTACTTCAGGTTATTTTTCTTTATATTAAAATATGCCTTTAGCAACCCTATTAATATGCTAATTTAACGTCACTCATGCATGCGCTTGTGAAATACGCGGAAATAAACTGCCCTGAAAGAACATGGTTTAAAAAATTGAAGGGCAAACTGAAAGATTGTTTTCCTAGAAACAAATATTGACGGATCAAATGCTCATTTGGGTGATAAGAAGAAAGCGACGTGCCGAACCTAGCGAGTGAAATGGCCCCTTCATGTCACGTGACTGTCTGCTGTGGCTGTAGTGCATTGTATAGGTTTGTGTAAATGGTTGAATATTTATAGGATTGGCTTAAAATCACCGTCGAGCTTCATTACAGTCTTTTCAAAGGTAAAAATTAGACATGAAAGTAATTATCATATTGTTGACAGGAATACAAACGAAATGCAGATGATTTCAACATTTTGCTTCCTTTCTTGAAGCTTGTTTACCAAAGGATATTTCAATATGGTCGACCTCAATGTATTCGTGCTTGAATAGACATAAACACTGAGAGGAATTTGACGTGTTAGACGTCTGCTGTACTTTATATGGACCTGTTATTGATGCATTAGGTGCATATAAATACAAAATAATTACAGGACGAACAGTTTTCATAGTTATGACGCCTTTCATGCACAGAAAGGTCAAGACAAATTGGAGTCATAATTTGAAGATTTCCTAACAGGATTGAGCTAAAAATAGAAATCGACAGAAACAGACAATGGAGATGAGCAAACCTGCCCTATATATCTTTACTTATATATTCTCTTCTCAAATTAGATAAAAGGGAAGGTCATAAAAATGAAAACGGTTTTGTAGAATCTATAAAAGGGTTTGTAGTCTACATTTGTAGAATTGTGACCTATATTCTATTTATATAAAGCAGACTATAATACCAGCTGTCAAAATTTTTCTCCTATATTTTTCACTGTATACTATTTTCATGGTTTGTTTCTTATTACTGTACTCAAGGTGGTTCTCATCAAATAATCTTGAAGGTATAGCCTCTTTAAACAATGTGGATATCTCAGATGTATATTTTATGATAATATATTATATATAACCTATAGTAATATTGTTATTGTACTACACTGTATTAGTTATTGCATGGTATATCAATAGAACGATTTTGTCCTCATTAATTTACATAAATAGATTTTGCTTTGCTATGCAGACTGTTGCCATTCCAAACATGTTTATTACTTTACTCTCATCAATTTTCAAATTTCACACAAGCCGGATTAAAATTAGAGACTTTAGGTTTATGTGTTTAACTGGTGCTCTTTATACATGTTCACACTGCGATAAAATTTGGCCACCTAGAAGTACATGTTCTGGACCTGGCCTGTACCATTTACACTGCACTGTTTTTACTTGGCCGGAATGGTGAGTCATCATAATCAAAACTATGATTTTGAAGTCCTGATTAATTCTGTCATGTTCATAGCGCAAAAGATTCCTAAAAATCTCCCATGTTGTTTGTGAGACACGCAGAAATGAAATTTTGTGTTTGTGTGAACATCAGAGGCGCAAGCAATTGCAACCACAATGAATTCAATAACATTACAATGTCATAGTGTCATGGTCAATTATTGCACAACTCCCAAGTGGGCTCGTCCACACTGCATTGATAGTTTGCTGTGCCGTACCTCTTCTTCTTGTGGAACTCGGCCCACTTGAAACTAACACGGTGCCAGAGCCCTTTCAACTCTCGACCAGTCTAACATTAACTGCATAACCCTGTACTAGAGTAAAGAATTCAATATTCTAGATATAAATAGCTTGATATATATAAAGCTTATTGACAAAACTGATATCTTAACTTGGTTCCATCTTAATTAGAGTAGGCCTATTGATTGCACTGTACAAAAATTTCTTTTAAAACTTTTTAATCCTAGAAAAAGTAACAAACTGTTCAAATGATATAGAACATACTAGACACCAAAATGATTGTACTGCATATGATTGTATACATTCTGTATACTAGGCGATCAAAATGGTTGCTGTATATTTTGAAATTGACAAAAATGTTCAGGAATTTGAAAATGACTAGAGGAAAAATTCTTTATGCTAGGTTAAAATTAACATGAACATGCTGTTTATGATATCATATGTAGGTGATCAAAATGTTCAGAAATATACACTGGCACCTGAAAAAAGATGTTTAATCGTTACTTATAAAACAATACCTCTCAACACATAAAGTAATAACAGGGGATGTCATTTTGTCATATTTTTTTTTTTAGTAAGAATTAGGATAATTGGATAAAATAAGATATGTTAGATGTTAAAGATATATTTACTATACTTTTCGAATGACAAGATAAAGTAACGATATCAAAGGAAAATGAGTAACATAGACTAGTATCAGTCTATCGGCAATTCATTACTTCAATGTGGAATAATCCATATTAGCTAATAACACAATATTTTGATTGAATATTAACATCAACAATGATACCTTAAACAATTGATTTTTTGCGATCACACAATGTCAATTCCCATATTGTATTTAAGCCCATATTTTTGGATACGTAATCCTTTCTTTACTTCAACCAGAAATTTAGCGCACTATGATGTTTACAGTGGAAATCCCCTTTTGCTGAAAATAGAATATTATCTAGGTCAGTGTGCTGGTATAAAATTAGCCCCACCCACAAATATCCAGAATGACTTAAACAAGTGAACATGGTATATATTTTTTACCAGCCTTGTTTTGGTCAGAATAACTGAATAATAATTCTTTGTTGTTGAAAAGTTTGAATCGGTTTGAGATTTATGCAATCTAGGTCAGCTATCTTCGTGCGATATAGTAACGTAGTGTACTTAGTTCATAAATACTAGGACTCAAGTTTTATGAAATTTATTGAGCGACGCAAGTGTTTCCAAGCAAAACATATCTTAAACTTTATTTAATTAAATTTTTATTCTGATAGCTTATCTAAGATATTTTAAAAAATTGTTAACTGTTGATAAAGTCAAGTTACGTTATGATTATACAGCGATT